TCCGGAATTCCGTGCGTTCGTCTATTCTAATCACTCAAATTCGTTTTCTCTCGAATTAAATATTTCCTGGGCAAGTTTGACCAAAAATCGCAACTATGTTATAGTTATGTAGCTTCAATCGTAACGCAAGTGGAATCAAATTTCGACTTTTCTTTTTATTTCGATCATCGGAGAAAACGAATGCAAGGAAAGTATTTACAGCGTTTATCGAGGCGCCAGTGATTCAAGATCGTCTAAATATTTCGATGCGTAGATCACGATTAAGCTTACATCATAAATATTTTTCAACAAGAATAAGTTATATATGAAAATCTTTTCCGGCAGATTGGAACGTCCGGTCATGCCGCGACGTACGCTGAAAGTCTATAAGCTGCTGAAGAGTATTTTTGTCCGTGGATATTATCGATTGCATATACCCCTGATTCGTCCTCCCTTTCTCTTGCACATCGAACGTATAATTTGAACATATAGATTCTTCTCCTTATTTTATTTTCCGTCTATGTACGAGTTCTCCTATTCCAATGCTGATAGACGTTTTATGCGTATCGTTTTAAGTTTACAAACATAGATCGCGTTCTGTTTCAACTTTACACAGACTGACATAACATGACGTAAACAAAGGAGAGAACCCTCGCAGGAGAAATTATGTTTTTTCACAAGTCTTAACACCTCTGTACATATTTTGTTCTTAATGGCTTTAACAGAGAGCTACTTTTTAGATTTGCTTCTAGAAAGAAATTATCGATTCTATGTACATGCGGGATTGCGAGACGAGAATCAAGATATTTTCAAGCGGATCTAAATCGATTTCGGTATAATTCACAGATCAAATCGTATTAGAGAGGAAGAGTTTGACACGGTGGAACACGAGGTCGGTTCACAGTTTGTAAATTCAACGATGAGTGACGTGTCTCAATTGTGATTCACTGCAATGCGTCACAGTGAATAGAGAATCTTATTCTTGGTTCATCGTGGCTTATTGTTCGCAGTCACCTACTTTCATTTGCCCAATTGTATCGTTTGCTTCGCGCAACACTCTATGAACTATGTGTCTGTATGTATTTTAAAGCAGGAAATTTCACTCGGTTCCCGCAGCGTTCGAGAAAACATTTATTTTTCAACTACGACACGTTCGCATTCCTAAAAGCCTTTCTCATCTTCCTAGCATATCTAATAAACAGATGGACTTTTTAAAAAACTACGCTATCATCGATTTGATGGAAAGTTCCTGCTCGTGATTGGCGGAATTTTACCAGTTTACTCCTATTTGACCGTATCACGTACTATAAATAGGTTTAAATAATCACGTGAGGCTTGCATACTGACGTAAACGTATGTAGTATTGTATAGAGTATCCATTTCCTAATATTAAACTGATTTTAAGCGTAATCGAGTTTATCGACGATAACTCGATGTAACCAAATAATTGGAATTACTTGATCGTTGCATGTATGTATATAAGGGGGCAGAAAATATATAGAAGAGAGTGATAAAGTTATCTCGAATTTACGTCTTCTCTGGTTTGATCTAGGCTTTTTTACGCGAGAGCCTTTTAAACCTCTCGGTTTTAAACGCTGGTGTGAAAATTCAATGGCGCTCGTTGTTTTGGCCTTCCTCTCAGAGAAATTGTAAATTTCGTAAATCGTCCACTTCGTTTAACGAGCTACTCCGAAATAAAAGCTAAAAACACTCCGATTCTTTTTTTCCTTGTGTTTTCACCAGATTTACGAGAAGTTACGAATACGCGGCTCTCGCCGATCGAACGAGTACCCGTAAAAATATCCTTTCGGAAGACACAATAAAACATGAAATAAAAATATTTATCGCTATTGATTACGGTAGAGTATAGCTTTTGTCATTTGTTTATTCTTTACCTTTCACTTTTACGATTGGCCTTTATGTGACTCGGTGCTTACGCCACTGATTTCGCGCTAAAGAATCGGTAAAATAACGTAGACTTGTAAGAGGAAGGTTGGAGTAGTACGAAGTGAGATTACATGGACGAGAGAGGATGAGAGACCCAACTTCAACACCAAAATGGCGGAGACCTGGAGGGTTGAATGTGGCACGTGTTTGACAGCCTAGCCCAGTGGCGTAACAATAAATTTATACCTTTTCGAGCGTTTGCTAATAACTATCTCATAACTCTGATTCGTGGCATGCAGATCAATCGATTTACGATGTTGCGAAATAAAATGGTTAAAAGTAGATAGCTGCTCGTACGTATGTAGTTTCTTATTCGATCGACCAACTTGGTTCACGCTGCCAAAAAGGAAAAAGAATAGGACATCGGAGCTTAAAGTGAATGTTATTTTATCGATTGATGATCGAGTTAAACGGCCCCTCGTTCGTTCTAAATAAAATGTCAATAAATAAAAAGTAAGAATACAATCGCAATGGGATTCGGGTGTAATACGGATATGTTTCTCTTTTATTTGTTAAATATATTTGGACTAGGAGAGCGAAAAATACTAACAAATAATCATTAGGATGTCGATAACATTTTTTTAATCATTACGAACTAAACATTCTATTTCGACATTCAGGATTATCGGAAAAATTCTTATTGCTGTTTTCTGAATTCTACGCCTCTGAAGCCCGACCACCCCCGCGTACCACCCCAAGTACACCCCTAATGACGTCATAGGACAGTGGCGCCAACAACTCTGTACTGACGTCAGTCCTGAACATTGGGCAACTAAGTTTCCTTCGCGCTATGAATTCCACATTTTCCCCTTTCGTTTCGTACGAAAGGAGAAAGCAACAAACGATACTTTCACGATATTGCGTCCCTTTTCCATTATCAGTTGATCTTTCGTGGTCTTTTTATTTCATTTATTAGCGAACGAAGCATCGCGCGCGCTTAGAATAGAGTAGAGTTTTACATATATCGTGCTATTATCGAGTCGGCGTAAAGCAGTACCTCTGTCATCGATTCATCATGACGACAGCAATGACGATCTCACTCGTCGCTAGTTATACGAGTTATAGTTGTAATTATTTTACGTCAAACCAATTGGTTGGTTCAATTTATTTTTCAATTTAAACTGTGACGTTACATATCGGTAGCAGAACCAGTAATCTTCTAATCTTTCGCATCTTTTTACAATCGCGATGAACCATCCATACAATAATCGATACGTGTTGTTCCTTACTTTTTTCACCATCTTTCCATTTTTTTTTTCTTTTTCTTTTTTGCCGATTTTCCGTTTCGTGAAATTCGGAGATTCTTGAATCGTCGAAGAGAAGGAGCTGTTGTACTCGTATATTTCACAAGAGAGCACGGTTCCATCGGTGAATCGACTTTTCTAAGGTCCCGTTTGTGCTTACGTTCGCGCCGCACTATTCACACAATTCATTGTCAATGTCGTACACACAGAACGGGGTGATACTACGAAGATGGCTGTTTAAAATCTTTCAGTTTTACGGATATAACTCGCTTTAGAAATATTAGTACTGCATATATCATTTATCATGCGAGACGACGTAAATGCGCTGTTTATAAAGACTTCCATAAATATCGCTTGAATGTTTATTACGATTGACGTTTGCGTGATGGAGGAAGAAGAACAAAGATGTACATATTTAGTGGTGAAACGATCGAAATTCCTAAATATTTGAACGAGTAAGGGAAAATCAAGATATCCAATATTCCGAGAAAATTTATTAAAAGATCTTGACGTTTGCCATTGACGTCCCTTAATTGAAAAATAATGCGTTCAACCGCAACGTTTTCAATGTGTAACTCCAAATTTATGTATATACATACATATATATGTATATCCATACATGCATATTTGTGCTTACGTTGCATCCTGCTTTCTCGACGATTCATTGCCGACGACGATTCAGTGATATGTATACACATCGTTCTCTGCGAATGGACGGACGAACGAACGCGAATCCCTCTTTTTATTGTCGCGACGATGACGTCAATTCTCTCTAATCTCAGCGCTCATTTCTGAAAATTATGATAGTACCGGTAGGCCAACGTACCGTCGACGGACGTTTAGGACGATCATCGGTTTCCTGATTACGACCCTCCTGCCTTGTACAAACGATTTTGCCTTGTCGCTTACGGTTTTTCGTTTTGAAAATCAATCAATCGATACAATTAATCGTATGGCATTTGATTCAACGTCATTCGTCATTTATATCTTAGTTAGAACGTTATGAACATTTTTTCTTTTAATTAAATACCATTTTTCCTTGATGTTCGACGTTTCACGTGATTCTAGAGTAGCGTATAAATATGATAACGTTCGATGATCGTATCTTGTGTTCCGCCCTTTGGCTAGCGTTAATTCTGAAGAAATTATGATCCGCTATCGATGCTCACAATGTACTAGTAAAATTTATGTATGTATGTATGTGTTTTTTAACATAGATTTGCCCAGTCTTTGTACTAGAAACGATATTATGTAATATTAACGAAAGTCGAGATATACGCGATTGCTCTTCCTATGAAAGCGACCTTATAATTGTGGCATTTATTTTTTTAACATCGATTAAAAGAATAATAATATTGAAGATGAAGTTTAGGATAGGAAGATAGAGATAGGAAGGCACAAAGTATTATAAACGTTTGCATTTGGTACAGGACTTGGAGTTAGAAAAGAAAAGGTTCGGAGCTCTATTATAAAGTAACGCTGCAAGGGTGCGGACCAGGACTAGCATACTTGTACCTATACTTAAATATATTTCTATTATACATTTATCCACTGGTTCCTCTCTATTCTATTCCGAGATAAACTTCAATAGCTATAAAACGGTTTAACGAATCGTTTCGTTCTACCATGTTTTCATTTTCTCTATTTTACACAATCAGGATTTACCGTAAAAATAACTTTGCCGGTGTTCATATTCGACGTAGGACTTGAAATTACAAAAAAAAAATCGGTTTTGAAATTTCCACAGTCTTATAGATGTAGATGTACCTAGAAATGGACAGATGTGAATAAAGGGAAATGTGAAGGCAATAATAATATATCCTTCTCGAATACTCATTTGTTAATTTTTATTGTTATAGAGGTATAATCGAAATAAATATTATGTGAATATACAGAGCGTGCTAGAAATACGAAAAGCACTGTGCGAATAAAGTGTAGGAACATCATGACAATTGATAGATATATATATATGTTGTTCGCCACGTATTTCTGGTTTTCTTCGTAAAAAAAACACGCTAAAAAGGCTGCGGTAATATTTTGCATAATTATTTAATTATTTAATTTTGCATAGTTATAAAATTCTGTCGACTTTCCATTTCCAGCATAACCGATATGAAATTAATAATTTCTTACATACTGGTTTTCATTCGCAATTGTAGTATACATTATTTATACGTTACGTAAGACCTAGGAAAGCATTCTCTGATATCGATTAAGTGAAACGTTAGAATAAGCGTATACAGGAAGATAAATTACAGGAAATAAATACGACGATATTATACAATAGTCTCTATACTCTATATAATTGGAACATTCACTAAGCAATTTCTTCGCCTGGGAAATAAATAATCATTTCCTTTCTCCTTTTCTTTTTCGTTTCCTCGTTCCTTTGCTTTTCCTTTTTCTTTCTCGTATCTCTGCCGCTCTATTTGCATATCTGTATTTGTGATCTATACAATTAGATTTACGTGTAAGAATATAATATAAAATCGTTTGATGATGGACGTAATGTTAAATAAATATAGTAATGTAAAGTTCATTGAGAGGATCATTTTCATACGATATTTAACCATGAAGTCGTTGCTATAGACAAACCAACAAAAATCGATATTCATTCTCGATTCGGTGGTTCTGTCTCGACAGCAATGAACCATACGTGCGCATTAACAATAGATGCAGATAGTTTGAAGCTGATAAAGGAGAAAAAAAGACTTAAAACGGTTTAAATTGAACGACGTTTGACGATACCCGAAATTGACAAATGTTCATCCTATTCTTATACGCGATTTAATGAGATGCAATGGTAATACTCGGAACGCGACAATGATAGCATGTACCTAATGTTTGTAAGGAAGAGACGTAATTACTGAGAAGTTTTTAAGCATCTTCTTCAGCCCATTCGAAACTCTCTTCTCCACCAGACGTTACTTCTTCGATGTTTGGCGATTCTTCGACGGCATTCCCGCCGGTTACAGGTTTGCTTTCCGCTCCTTCTGGTTCTTCGATGAAAGGATCTTGTGTCATCTCAAAACGTTCTTCTTCTTGCACATCATCTTCGACCTTCGTAGAAAATAGCAAAAATAAGATATAATATTAATATTATATGCAGTATCGAGGAAAAACCGTCGAAACAGGCAGAAAGTAGTAAAAGTGCTGACAGACCGGGAGGAAAGGATAATTTCGATAGGTCATAATCCCGTAGACCTTTAGGACATTGGGAAATTAAAAAAGATGTACTTGACCATCTTGGATCAACAGCTGTAAAGCTGTTACGTTGTAGTAATACCAAAAAGTCTGGTATAAAAAGAACATAATCTCTTAATGGAGAGAGTGGTCAGTAGTCAGTAATCAGTAATCACTAATCAGTAGTCAGTAATCAGTAGTCAGTAGTTGTAGTTACGACTGAGTCGCCACTAGTTGCAGTTGCGAGGAAGCTGCGAGTAGTTGCGGGTTAATCGTTACTCGTGAGTTGTCGAGACGTTGTTAGTTATTGAAAATTGGTATTTACCCTCGTATCGTCATCTGTAACTGGATCACAGAGCCTTTCTTCCCTTTCTTGATCAGTGATATCGCTGGTTATCACATCGTCGTGAAAATGCTCGATGTCTTTCACTTCATCTGGATCGTCGAACGTAACATTCGCTAACCTTATCTCTGTTTCCTCTTGGTCACGAGCCTTCTCGAGTTCTTCCTCTATGATCATTCGCTCCTGTTCCTTCAACAGAGCTGTTGTTCTAGCTTCTGCTATTTTCCTAATATACAAAATTATGCATCAATTACATCGTACGTGATTCACAATTTAAAAACACATATCTTCTTCTAATGCATAAACTATACCTTTCTTCCTCGAGTATTCTTTCTGTTTCCAATCGATTAGCCTCGATTTTCGCCTCCTCGGCTTTTCTTTCGGCTTCGGCTTTTTCTTGTTCGACAATTTCGTCAAGATGCGCCAAACGTTCCTGCGCTACCTGCAATGCTTCCCATGCTTTCATCTCATCCGCTTCGAGTTTTACTATTTCTTCCTCGGCAGCCTGTTTCTTTTCTTCCTCAGTCCTATAACAAATCATGGAAGGATCGCATGAAATATTTTCAGTACTCGATTATAGCGTCATTATTAGATACCAGCTCAATTACGATTTCAGTTCGACAGAGGTTGAAATTTTGGCTAGTATGTCGATTGCAAATCGATTAGCAGGTTACCTGGCCGAGTTCAATGTTATGATGTTAATCGTTTCGCCAACAGTCCCGCTTCTTACATAATATCGTAACTACCGATACGTGCCAATTTTACTAAAAACTACGCACCTTGCCTCCTCAACAGCTTTAACAAGGTATTTCTCTATTCTTTTAACCGCCTCTTCCTTGTCGTGTTTCACTGAAATGAAAATCTTCTCATTAACTGGCCGATCAAAATTTTCCTTGCTTAAAAATCCTAATTTTAAATCGACCAACTTCTATTTGTGCAACGTCTCGCGCACAATACATTACGGTACGTTTTCAAAGACCGAACAAAGGAATTATATACGATACAAAACGAATATCATGCAACATAAAATAGATTTGGGAATAATTGTACACTATAATAATAATCATAATCATCTGGTTACATTTTATACTCGCCAGCTGACTCGGTATGTCTACCTACAATTTTTTTTATCAATTCTTAGGCAACTTCTTTTTCGGATCAACATACCAACTTTATTTGTCGCCTTCTTTTCGTCTGTTTCGTCCGACTCACTTACACCTTCTGTAGTTTGAGGTTCTGAACTTGCTTTCGGCGTAGATTCTTGATTGGTTTCTAGCTCGGATATCGGTTGCGGCCCTTGAACTGCTTCTGATTCTGACTCTTGCAAGGCTTCCGTAACCGCTTGTATAGATTCCGCTGGATTTTCCGAGTTTAATTCCGGTTCTAACGATTTCGCAGGTTCTCCAAGTGGCTCAGGTTCCTTCACAGATTCGGATTCTTTCACGGGCTCTTTTATAGCTTCCAATTCCGGTTCTGATTGCTTCACGTGTTCTGTTTGCTCCGCGAGTTGTACTTCTTTCGCAAGTTCCGCTTCCTTCGCAGGTTCCGGCTCCTCCACAGACACCGTTTCCGTCACAGGCTCTGGTTCCTTCAAAGGCTCCGGTTCCTTGGCAGGTTCCAGTTCCTTCGTAGGTTCCGGATCCTTCGCAGGTTCGGGTTGCTTCGCAAGTTCCAGTTCTTTCGCAGGTTCAGGTTCCTTCGCAGGTTCAGGTTCCTTCGAAGGTTTCGCTTCTTTCACAGGTTCCGGCTCTTTCATAGGTTTGACTTTTTTCGCGGATTTAGGTGCTTTTACAGGTTCAGGTTGTTTGCTGAGTTCGGATTCTTGCAAGGGTTCGGGTTGTTTCGCAATTTCTGATGCAAATTCAGCCTCTTTTATAGTTTCCGGTTTAGATCGAGTTTCGTTTACCGGTTCTGGCTCCTTTACAGATTGCAATGTCGAAGCTTTAGTTGCTTCGTCCTCCGTTCCCTTCGTTTCCGCTTTTCCTCGCTTAAATCCACGTTTCTTTTCTGGCTTTGATTCCGTTTCTTTATCTGTTTTAATTTCTACAAGACACATGGAACGATCACGATGTCATGTTTTTATGGAACATGAACACTTGGAATTTCAAGAAGAATCGTACCTTTCCTCAGCGTTGATTCATCCAAATCAGGTTGCAACGCTCGCGCTAAAATTTGTCAAACTACGTGAACAAGGACAACGAAATAACATGTACAGGTTGCATTTATCGACGAAAGTTAGTGAGAAATATTACTGACCCTTCCGTAATTCTCTTTCCGTCATCGGCACATCTGGCGCTATAGAATAATACGAAACGTAAATATTCAGTTAACGATCAAGATTCCTGCGAGGCTATATTTCTGTATCTGAAATAAACACGAGTGAAAACGCGGAGTAAAGCTGCGATTAAAACGTTAGCCAGGGCAATATTTGGGAAGTGTGTTACGATACAAAACGTATTTGTTAATTCACCATATCCTATCGACACGGATAGGATGCTTTACAAAGATAAAGCAAATTAATATTTACACATACGATGGTGTGCGACCAATGAATTAGAATATTAAAAATCTTTGAATTCGAGAATATCGGCGATGAAATTATTTCTGCGATTTATGATATTTCCTCTTACGACGAAATATTACGACGTAATACGATTTGCAGAAACGATGAATCGGATTGTTGTCCTCGTTTTATCTCGGTTTTGCGTTTGTCTCCGATTATACATACGTGGTAACGATGATCGTAATACGATGGTCAATGAATAAAAACACACGATTTATACTTAACATGTTTCAACTTGAGTAGCATTTGCTTCTCCGATGGGAATTTCACGTTCGTTTGTGTTACAAATTACATTTTCATTAGGATTATATTTAGATAGCGCTCGTAGCACGAAATGAACTCGTGCGAGACTCTTTCGTCCCTTTTGATGCAAGATTGTACGATACTGTGATATCGCTCTTGTCGTTACAGTGTCGTTACTGTTACTATTAAAATTAATGTTTCTTTTCAACAACCGAAAACCACTCAACTTCACTTCAGAAACAAAATGTCAGCCGGCCTAATTATTAGAAATGTAGGTAAAGCACGTAAGGAATCTTACCTCGAAGCAATGCATTCACTGCTAAGCCACTTCTTCTAATTTCCCGATTTTTGTGCAAGGGGAACAATTCACGGTGCTGTTTTAATCATCGGTTATGCTTAATTTATTTGGACATTTTCTGGCAAGGTCGAACAGATTCAACGAGGAACGAAATAATGAACATCGTATTAACATCCAATATAATTACAGATTACTCGAATCGTGCGTAGAAATTTCTCAAAGAAAGGAAATTTTGCTCAAACAGAACGATACAAACGATTACTCGTAACTGCTATTACGAAATTACTATCATTCATAGAAATCGAATTAAATCGACATAGACGTGTCTAACTTTTAATGAAATACTCGACTATCAGTCTCGGGTTTTTACCTCAGGCAGAAATACTTTCGGTAAAGATTTTCACACGCGATCGATCTTAGAATAAAGAACATGTTGCGCGAGTCATCTTTGTATAGAAGCGGGAACGTGCGTTCCCAAATTAAAAGGCGGTAGTTTCGTAGATTTAAAAAGTGAAACGATATTTAACGCGAGCGTAGTCACTCCTCTGCGGGTGTCTCGTTTTCTTTCACTTCCTCCTCCTTCTTTTTGTTTTTTGTTGGATCTTCGTATAGCTCTGGAACTCGATCCCTCCATCCTTTGCCTGAAACGTTGAAAAAAGCCGAACTGGTTCTTCTCTGCCATTTTTACCCGCGTGTACGTGTCCCAGTCATCCGATTCTGCCTGATACTGAAGTTTGTCTTCGTGCAAAATCTTGCTTTCTTTTCGGTTTCCAGTTTCAAGCCGCGTATCGTCGTGATTGCCGTTTATTCCGTTAATGTGCGCGGTGACGATGAAGATGAACAAAGTAAGAAAAGAAAAACGTACGGAACCGTTCGATGCAGCATAGACGAGGAAAAAAAACAATGTTCTGTCTCACACCTTCGTCGCTACATACATGTTTCATTAGACACAATATACATATATATATATATAATATAACAGAAATGTACAGCCACGAACAAAATACGAGGAAAAAAAAGATAAAGAGGAAACTACGTAACGAACGAGGAAAAATACGCTAAAATATAAGAATAACACAGCACAGCAAAAATTGTCAGATAGAGCGGATCAATGGCAATCCATCCAAAAAAGAGAAGAAAAAGTAGAAAACCGAGCGGGAGAGAAAAAACCAAAAAAAAACGTACACACAACGGCGTCACATGGCCGCTTTTATTTTCCAAAATTTTCTTTAAGATATATGTGATAACAGAGCGCGAGCGAGATTAATGCCAAATGACATTCTAATTCTTTTTCTTCTTTATCCACATCGGATAGTAAGAAATCGCTTTGCATTTATAATTGCACGTTATATTTCGAGAGAGATGATTAGCGTCATTCGCGCATTAAACTTTCCCGCTATAACGTACTACTACGTATTCCTATTGTTTCTACATGTTTCGTGTTCGAATTCAGTAAATTATTGGTTGATTTGTACCGTCTGCTTCGTGTAGACGTCGATCGCAAAGGAAAGCTAGTGCACTCGAGAGTTTTTCTTTTCTCGAATCGTCATACGTGTCGTCCGTGTCCGATTGTCAGTTATGGTGTTCGTAACCGTCGTTGCATTAAGTATAAATAATCGTGGCGTCGCGTCTGTATATCGAAATTACTCACAGGCGTTAGCCGCCGCCTCGCGGTTCTTGCTGTAGTAACTCAGAAAATTGACATCGTTTTTGACGTCCGAAGGACGTAAATCAGCAACCTTGAAGTAGGGTTTCCTGACCGATTGTGGCTTGCCGGCGACATATTTAACGCAAGCCAGATTACCGAAGTTACCTCGATCGGGCACATCATACCAGGAAATCGGCTCTATCGTGTCTTTCTTCGCGTTGTGTTTTCCAGAGATTAGTCGACGGACGTAATCCCCGCTGCCCATACGTTCTGGTATTATCTCTTCCGCGAAGTCGCTAAAAATTAAACGGTTCGTATTATCGTGCCGTCAAATGATATATTTCGTCAAATGATATAATCGCTACGCGATTCGATCGTCTAACAAGTGCTTGGAATCGTACTCTAGAATTGCTTTCATTTTCGTTCTAACCGCATAACAATCGCTGCTTAAATACCTTGCTACGGCTCGTGGAATGAAGACGTGAACTCGTCGAAGAAGAGAATCCACTCTCGCACGTATTTCCCTCGCCTCGTCGTCGAAGTACTGCGAAGAGACACACGTAAAATATACGTCGAACGAAGGACCACTCTCTTACGAGAGGAATTATATATATATATATCTACTACGATTTGTTCGTTATTCGGTTAATCCAGTTGACCGACTCTATTGGATTAAATTCTATATTCTGGAATGAAGAGACGCGACAAAGATACGATACGAGAAGCTATGAATTTCAGGTGTTAAGCATGCTCCGAGCGTAGTCCTCCCAACACGAAATTCGTACAGGCTGTTCGAAGAATTAACAATGCTCGCAGAGTCAAGTGCGACTCGTCAAGTATCGATCATAGAAGTGTAAAAGCTCTACATTTCTCGAGATGTCCATTAAAAAGACGACGCGATTCCGCCGAACGAGGATGCCAGATGTTGCGTGTCGAAGACGAGTTGAAATCGTGAAGAGACACGACGACGACAATGATCGGTGTAATACGATCGATGACATGGATGATGACTGGATGACGCTCATGCTAATGGCCACGAATGATGACGCTGTTTTGCACTGAACAGATATCACGAGAAACGTGGCAGACTTACGATGTGATCCTTGGATCGAAGGTACTTTTCCGTGTAGGATTCGGTCGACGGTCTTGTCAGGTTGCGTATCCTGTTGATCTCAGCTGCAAGGACGCTGGGACGTACGCGCGCATGAACTCTTATCGGTATCAGACTGCCGCCATGGTACACGGTATGGTACGGCAGGTGGATTACAGTCACGAGCCGTTTATGAGCCACGTATGGCATGCGAGGAATGCTTCTCAACTAGAGGCACGAACTCTGCTTTACTAATACGTCGACTAATTGTTACGTTCCCAGCGGCATCAGCGACAATTAGCTTCTCACAAGCGTACTCTTCTTAAGCTCGCACTAGCTCCATTTAAGCGTACGATCTTTCTCATTCTCGCCCTCTTTCTCTCTCCCTTTCTCCCTTTCTCTTTTCTGTTCCTCATTCGTTTCCATAAATTCGTTCGAGCGATTAGCAGCAGAGCGCAATAGGCGATCGATTAGATACATAATCACGATTACCGTGATCGCTACGTGCAGCGATGTTCCAGCTGTTTCCATGATAACTAGAGATAGTAAAGCATTTACCTGTGTGCGATCGTGCTAATTGTAAGAAGAATCGATGAACGCGTGCACGTTTCTATATTTTCCTTGATTTACGAAAATGAATAGCGATAGATGATGAGTTTGGTTAATCGAAGAGGAGCCAGTTCGGCCAAATTCTAGCGATCGACGTGACGATCGAACGATGGTTTAATAGTGCGGATGAAATAAGCAGAAAAGCGTCGTTTAACAAAATAAGAAGAAATCGCACTTGCCGCATTTCGCATTTGCAATTCAACACTTTCCGTGAACATTTTCGCAAGCGAGCTAGTTTCTTGTCCATTAGCGTCAATTCCATGCTACTTACCTGAAGAATCGTGGAGATCGGTAAGGTAATCGGCCGGTCCTGCTGTTCCGTTTCGGTTGTATTTATAAAGATGAATGTTTTGTGTTTCATTTAATCGATTTTCGACGATATCGGGCGCAATCCAGCAGCGGCAGGGGACGAGGAGTCACGTAGGAAGCAGAATAAATAGAAAGAAGAACAACAGCCAGTTAGTAACGTTTGCAATATAGTATCCCTTTCGGCACTCTCTTTTATGTTTCTCTTTATTTATTCCTTTATTTCCTTGTTTACACACGTGCGTATTATCAAATAGTGATCATCGGTCGAATCGATCATGTATTCTCTCGATAGAAAGCGATACGTAACGGGAAGAAGGAAAAGCAAGGAAAAGTGTACCTTTGACGGAAAAAAGTAATGCTACGACAGTTGTAATGAATTTTCGATCATTTGTAACAAGTAATTTGGCCGATTGTCGCGTTGTGTGTCTATTGAGATGGGTTTAGGTGTTAGTCACAGTTAGCAGTTTGATACACAAAAGTGAACGTTCGCATTATATTCGAATATAGTTGATATACTGACGAGTTATCTTTATAATTTTATTTTGATCGCAAAGATACTAATGCGTTCTCTTTCATTAATTCACACTATCATTGCACACGCTAGAAGAAACGAAATTATGCTTGCACGGATATAAAACTGTTGATTTGCTATGCGAAAGCAAAAAAAAAAAACACTCCCATACGTACAATCGATAAGTAGAAAGAATCGATAACTACGAAACAAATCCTACACGTTGGATCCATCGAACAAAGTCGATCAAATATTGCACGAAATAAGTAAAGCGGTACTTTTGAATTTATTATTTAAATCGAAACAAAGATTCACATAACCATCGTTACAATATTCAGTGTGTCGTTTAACTATTAGTGCAATGTATTTAACGGTGTTCTATAATTATCGCGTCTACGGAATATCTAAGTACAGCTACAAAATTCGTTTTCACAGTAATATAATATAAGTAGTACGTGTTGCTTCAAATACCGTATAGCGGCGATATTTAAACGATGCAAATAAAAGAAAATACCTGAACCCCGTCTTCCTATCGAATTATATACTTCGTCCGAATTGATTCGCTTTGATGAAGCTTCGAATAGATTCGAGTAAGTAATTAAAAACGTAAGTCGACGGTTCTTTCGTTTCACCAAAATCAATGTTCGTATCTATATAACTTAGGTGTTGAAGATGTAATTGAAATTCAATGTTAAATCATTCTTTGATCAAAATCGGTGAAATGAAAATATCGAAGGCCATCCGGTCGGGAATTTAGACGCGGTAGGAGAAATGGCGGTAAGTGGTACCGCCAGGTAAACGACCGGAAGTGTGGGACTCGTAAGAGGAATGATAGCTTCCAGGACCGCCACCACTCGATGTCCTAGATGACCTCTCGGTCGAATACGATCCGTACGGTCCGCTCTCCCTCTTGACGACGTTCTCTTCGGTGTAGCTAGTCCTCTGCGGACGGCGGCTGTACGAGTACGGATCCGTAGAGGAGGAGGAACTCGATGAGCTGGTGTTGGTGTAGGCATAGCTGTACTGCTCTTGAGCAGCCCTCACCCCGGTTTCCGGATAGTCACGGACCACATAATGCCGAGGCGTCTACAGATTCGGGTTACACAAGGTCAACAATGTGGAGAACAGGCATTTCCGGAGAACAGAACTTTTTCATTTTTTTACTAAAACATCTTGATCACATATCGCACTTTTCTCTCTATATACTGTGTTTATCGCGTGTCTCGATTTTTTTCTTTTTTTTTGGAGCGATCATGGAAGTTCCCAAGTTAAAAAATTATAAGCTTCGCGAGCGGATTCCATTGCATCTTAACTATTTGCAGTTTGATTTGTTGCGGGTAATTGATTTCTTAATTTTGATCGAATTTTGAATCAAACGTTTTGCGCAATCGTTCTGTCATTCTTGTGTTTTACCCGTTTGAAACTGAATTTTGGCTGGCTCTGTTCTCCGTTTTGGAATAACATGTACTGGAGAAAAGGACGTATCGCGTATCACGTTATAGTATTAATGGAATAAAAAATACAACCGGTACTTCGTCCGATTCATCTTGCCTCGTGTAGTTGAATCGTTATCATCGAAATATCGATTAAAACGCTTAAAACGAGACACGATCCATTAATCGTTGATCATTGCCAATGTTACTTTTAAGAATTCAGACGAAGCGGTGGGTGGACTTTTTGGAGATTGAGAACGTTAAGATTTGGGTTATATTGTTTGAATCTACGATATAACTATGTTAAAGATATTTTGTGATAATACATATATCGATCTATCTGTAGACACACAACGTGCGGGCCAATTATAAACGTAGAGCGGTACACGTATGCATTAATAATGTCTCCTTGCCGAGATATTCAGGACACTCTAGAGTGCAACGTTGAGCAACTGAATTAGCCTTTGCCAAGAAACACATGGATAACGTAATGTAATAGTGTCTACGTTATGTTCGTATTCTTCGCTCATATGCACGAGTGCATCTCGGTGTCTCGTTTCAACTTTAGCTTTCGACCTAAAACTTTTGGTCATATTCTCTGTCAACTTTGCTCACCTGCATCGATATTTAAGCTTAATAGGAAGTTTAATCTTCCAACTATCTGTAATACCGATATGAAATAAGTTCATGACCCAGACGTCGATAGTACTATAGCAGAAATGTATTCTTAATCAGTTTCCTCCTTCTTTCCACAAACAATATCACTGAGATACGATTATTATTGTATATTATAGAACAGGGTATTGTTCGACTCAAGGTCTTCGACCTAACGCGTTTAGATAAACATATCTTGAGTAGTAATGAATCCAGTAAACACGCTTTTCGAAATCGAAACACTTTATTTGTTCGATGTGCATACAAAGTAAACGAACAAGAAAACGAAAAGTAAAGCAACGGTAGTATATGTATAAAGCAGCAATCCATAATTTCCATAGTCATTCATAGTTATGGAATACAAGATGTTTGTCTGTGTATATGTATATTTATATGGGCTAAAAGAGGAAATAACACGAAAGTATCAGGTTCGTGTAAAATTTGTACAAAAGGGAAAGATTTGAGCTATTACGAGTATATCGTCGATTGTAAAACTCTAATCTTCGTGAGAATGTCGCTCTAAGGAAATGCCAAGATAAAATTCAAAGAAAGAAGAGTAAAGACTGGTAAAAAAATGTCTAAACCGACCAAAATTAATCGTCCTAATATTCATCACTGAATTAATTCCAAGTTCTACGAAGCAGCATATTAAAATATCTGTCAGTCGTGTCGAATTCTTAGATTATCTTTTTACAAAATGAAAAAAATATCATTTGTTTCCAATCAAACGTCATTTACTCGCAACGGTGTTGTTAAAATCGGTACCAAGAAGGCGTTTGGAGTGCCATCAGTATCTTAGTACGACCACTAGCGGGAGGAACGATGTGTCTTTTAGTAGCTGGTTGTCTAGAAAGCACTCCTTTCTCGAAAACGTGACCCTTAGTTGCCAGTTCAGTCGCGGCGTCCAGGCTGACCTTTGACACTGCGCCACCATCCACCAACTGTCGAGTATGGTCTTCTCTCGCGGGATTTTTACCACGCACGACACCCTCCTTGTCCTTCAGGGTAACGTATTGATAAAATTCTTTTTTTGGATCTTGTTTCTTGCGTCCCCAAACGGTGAATGGTTCTGGTACCAGGGATGGTCGTGGAACAAACGGCACTTTTTCCCACGGAAAGTAGTCCTGCTTCTGTAAATTTCATCAGGTTCGAGATGCGTTTAACTTCTGCCCCATTCAATTGCTTCCTTTTCTTATTCGACATCGTTTTCCCTTTCGTCGTCGAGCGTCGATCAAAAACTTTGTTCCTTTCGATATCTTCACTTCCACACCATTCTTCCGTATTATCGCTATGCTATGTGTATCGATCGTTGATATTATACTAGTAAAAGTCATGACATTCCCGTCTGAAAATCGTGCGTGTGTCATGACAGTTACTCTGGAGTATAAAGAGAGTATAAATATTATCTTCTTTCTCTTCCCCGCGATGATTCTTGACGCGATATTATTTTCTGCCACAGTATATGTTTCTTATCCTTGTGTAAAAATAGATCAAAGCATCGTGAATGGTATACAAGGAACGCAACATCTCGCGCCCCCATATTCGCCTCCGCACATTCCGAATCGTTGATGTCGATCGAGATTTTTTACGGCACAACCCCTCCTTATATCATCTCTACAAATACATTCATTCGTGTTGCAGGATTTTCTTTCACTTTATATATTTTCGTGCGATCGCTTGTGCAACTTTCCATAAAAATTATTTTTATTCTCTCTTTCTCTCTCTTAGTCATCACGAAAGTGTCACAAAAGACACGGTCTGTCTAATTACCCCTCTTCCTATATGCGGAGGAATCGTTATTTTAAGATCTAAGTACAACGCAAGAAGAAGAGGATTCTCTTTTTCTCTGTCCATTTCGTTGGGCTGGAACGACGTTCGATAAAAATAGATATCAAGTTATATTACCGATTCTAATTGCGAGCAGTTTGAGCAATAGTCACGAAACAATGAGAAACATGAACTGCTGCGACACAAAATCTGAGAAGCAAGTATGGTCACTAGAAATCATGTATGAATTTCCGTGACGAATTTTAACTTTTGTGGTGGGAGTCAACGTCGTTGGTTCGTCGGGAGTCTAAATTAGGGCAGAGTAACGCAACACCGATGCTCACAAATCCCCTCTACTGAAACGGAGAAAGACGGAAAATGTTTTAATAACATCTTCAACCATCGAAAGATGTTTCCTCGTTGGCGTGTTGTTTCGTCAACCTCTTTGTCATTGAAATCGTTCGAGATGCTCGAGTTAGAGGCCTCGGTGAAGATCTCTCGAACATAATTAGAATTACCGAGGAGTTAAGTATTTAGGTCAGCTTTTAACGGTACCATTGATGGATGCATGATCAACAATGGAACAGACCAATAATCTAAACTGTCGAAGAAGTCACTACGACTATAACACGTTGTTACAACAACATTTCACTAATATTTCTCGATAAATGATTCCTTCTGTTACTGATTCTGCCCAAACTTGTAACTCAGTTACATTTGTACAATTCGTTCATTTGCATTTTTATATATACTCTGTTCAGTTGATTTTTGTCGTATGATAGATTTGTCAGCCCATATACGTTTTCGTGTTCACGGATCCAAAATTTGCCGGGTCGTGCGGCATCTAAGTTTAACGCGACGAAGTCCCGGAAAATGGCTGCACCGCTATGAATAGGCTTTTCTCTAATTTCCCTACTCGCAAATCACTTCGATTATATCAGTTTTCAATTTTTTTATTTCAGAATAAAAATAACCGTTGTAATGAAATAATCGTCAGTCTCGAGTAAAAGTGCACAAAGACTCTTGCGAATTTTATTATTTGTCTCCTCTGCAGATAAATCTTATTTCGAATCGAAAATATCTCTCATCGTTTAATATTTGAAGAATTGACACAAACAGGCACATGAAACAATAAGTACAATTGATACATAGCCGATGAAACCCTGGTTACTATAGGGCGTAACATATACATACAAAACAGATTCAAAACGGGCACAACGAGGGTGTCTTGAAAACAAATCATTCAACAAGTAATTTTTTTCCGTCCGTTTAAGTCGACGGGTAACTCGTGTCAGAGCTTATTTGGTGCAGGTAAAAATAATTCCGTAAACTGGATGTTATTACCGTGCAGTTATACGTTTAACTCTTTTTAACTGATATACTTGTCAAGTTTGCATATTAATTCAAGTGTGTAGGTTCTACTAACAGTAATCGTGTAATTGACTCGTATTAAATATTTATCTGATTTCTAGGAGACACCGAGTGCATGTTTCGAGGTTCAAAAAACTGTTAAACAATAACAGTAATAACAATGACAAAAGTGGTAACAACGAATAACAATATTTATCGGAATACAGTGTGGAAGTAGAGACTTCGAAATGCATCGAACTCGATCCGCCGACAGCAATAACGATTCGTTTAGATCGTATTTGTATCGTGGTTGATATCGTGCCTGTCGTTGATCGATTTCGCAAACGAACGGGTAATCAAGGAGTGTCGATCTTTCGATCGTTAAAGAGCCAATGTTTCGCAATTTTATCGATTTTGCAAATATAATATATTAGCAATGGTGAAACTGTCGCGCATACAAATATCTTCGAAAATTTGACAGAAATTTTCCGAGAAACAAAACGTTGACTCCGGATCGAAAAAAATCCGAACAAGGGTGGTTCGGTTAAAGTGTTTCCGAGTTACACTCGACGCTCTTATTCGACGTTAGTGCCATCCAGCAAAACATTATTAAGACATACTTCATCCCGCTCTTTCAACAATCCCATATATACTGACCGTGATGCTGTAGGACGAAACGAGAGGCCGTGAGTAGGGTCGTCGGGTTGTATAGAAGTCGCTCTCGTACACCATTTTTCCTTTCAGTTCGTTTTTCTTTTCGGTTAAAAATTCGCTCGTTCGTCGGTGCTACGTGTACCTTTCGTTGAACTCTTGTCGACAAACGAATTGCTGCACGTACGGTTGCTATCTGTCGTAATCTGTTAACGTGCGCACCAGAGTGAAAGATCCACCACTGCAGCCACGATGAAGGTACGTACGATTCTATCCGTTCGCCGAGACTCTTCTTCAGCTTCTACTATGATCGTTCCACCCCACTTCGATCCATCTTTCTCTTTCTTTCGGTACACGCACGAGAGGGAGCGAATTTTACGTATACGTATACGTACGTCGCCTCCTCTCGCGGTCACCACTTTGATTGCGTCATTTTCGGCACACGGCCTAATGCATCGAAAAAAATAGAATTGTGTTAAGGTTGCAGCTGACAACCCTCTTTTAATGTTCTTTTCCATGATTCCTTCTTTTCTTCTCTCTCTCTCTCTCTCTCTCTCTCTCATTCCCCTCTTCGTGTTACCTTTGACAGATTTCTGATTTATTGACATTTAAACCTGCTAAAAATTTCAATGTCAATAAATTAAATAATACGCTTTAATGAAAAGTGAATGTCAATCTTTTTTAGCAAACGAATAGACTCTCGTTTATCTGCGTAAATCTACGCACTACTTTCTTTTATCTGTCTTTGAATGACTCGCAATATGAATTACATAAAAATTACTTTGAATTTTATGTTTATTTACTTAACAATACGTCGTATCTGCGATTATGCGTTATATTATGTCAGATATTATTGGCAATTAGCCAATGTTTTGCGCTAGGTTCTGCAGTTGGATCAAATCCTAATCCTTTATTACAAAGAGCAACTTGTCTCTGTTTGTAATCTGTTTGGGTGGTATCTACGCTTTTGAATAAAGATTCGAAAATACCCTCGTCTACGAAGTTCTCTAAAAATATAGCTAGTTCTTTCATTGGGTAGGTTTAGTGAAATGGGAAGCTAACATTATTTATTATGTTACAGAGTCATCACTCTGAATAGTGTCGTGAAAATTTTGGTTGGAGATCGTCGTTTATTAAAAATTTATTGCCAGAAGAAAGTTTACACAAAAGGTGTAACTAGTAATCGTTTTACTTATTGATACTACCTGTATTGATAAGTAAAAGCGTGCATACCCCCTCATCTACATCCCGAGAAAAATCTAATCTTATCGAACCAAAACCTAATAAAATTAATGAGAAATGAGTTTGGATTAGATCCGGGTTACCTTAACAAAATCTCGGTTATTCACACTCTCTTAAATGCAGTTCGCAAATAGAGTCCAGAATATTACATACTTTTGTGTAAACTTGTGTAAAAACCCCAACTAAGTTCTTTACGACGCTACTCAAGATGAAGACTGACAATATATCAAAAATTACTGAAATTGGAGGTGATTTGTGAATATTTACTAAAGAAGTGAAGAAAAACAAAGAAAAATCCTGTATACCTGTTTTAGAAAGAAATGGTAATGGCGGAAATAGTTATTTTTATAATCTGCCAAGCAGACGGCTGTACGGCATATCTTATAGAAATAGGACGAAATCTGTTCGCGTCATCGGAATTCACAATAACCAAACGCAAGCTATTAAAAATACATTTATTCTCCTAAATAATAGTTGACATACATACGTATGTTACTATGAAAATTTTTAACATTCTTACTTATACATATACCTAATTATTATGTTATTATTACAACAGATTATTGAACATATAAATTTGCAACAAAATACTATTCCTATTGACTAAGGATAGAACCTTATTTCTATTATTACAACTATTGAATTACACATTATCATATACATACGTATACGTATATTTCTCTTTTCCTATATCGTCCTCTAATATTCTTAAATAAAAAGTAATTAGAAAATATACAAATTATTAATTTTATTATTAGGATAAATGAATAAGAAACTAAATATACATATAATGCTCTTGAAATAAGAAACAAGAGATTGTTTTACCTCGAAGTTCATCCATGTTTACGATTAGATAGTGAGTCGATAATATTGAGTACAATAAAAAAGTAACAAATGAGTTGTAGTATTACCACAAATTGTTTTCTCAACCTTAATATCACTAATTATAATTACATACGTACATTTTTAACAAAAATCTAGAGTGAAGTTTTGATCGAACCATCCGTCGATAATACAGATAAGGAATAACTCCATAGGCTTTCGTTTCGCATTTATAGACTACTATACTATATATATATATATACTTATATGTCATGTCAGTCGCAATTCAGGTATTGCACTAAGTTTTTATAAACCGTTTACTTGTCAAGAAATAATTTTTTCGTTGAAAAAATGCGCACATTAATAACAATAAATCAAGTATTATATTTAACGAAGCGTTTCAATTCGATTAGCGCATCTTAAGCGAAAGTAAGAAATACATACACATGTTACGAAGCGGAGCTGTTACCATAGCACTGTAAACAGAACGAGATTGTATTGTATGATTACTCGGCACTTAAAATGTCCGTGACTGAAGAGAGAATTCAAGAATTAAACAGACGGTTTCTGGAATTTATGAGTAAAAGCGAGAATGTGGAAGGTGCGACTAAAGAAATTTTTGACGACCTCCTGGATGAGGTTTTAATGGGATTTGTTTTCGATGTACATCGAACTACAAAAACTGGTAGTTCTGATGTAGAAGAAGGCATACCTGATGATGAATCTTATGCTATTGTAGGTGAGTAAATGGTAAAGAAATATTATTAAGGATATCAATAACTAGACTTCAGTAATCAGGTTATGTTTATTTACTACCAAAATGTTTATATTTGACAAATACTTTTAAGTACATTAAAGTATGTTAAAGCAGCTATTTTTACAATGATTATTGTTTTTATATAATTTATCTAATTGTAAAATGTCTTAAAGATTCTCCAGGATTGGATGTTTTTGGACAACATCCTGTCAAGAAATCCCAAGAATGCAATTGCCCAAATTGTGATAGAGGAGTCGCAGCTTGTCGTTTTGCAACTCATTTAGAGAAATGTATGGGCATGGGACGAAATAGTTCAAGAATTGCATCAAGACGCATAGCAAATAATTCGAAAGATCTCAGTAACTTCAGTGGTGTTATAAGCGACGATGACGATGATGTCGATTGGAGCTTAAATAATGATAAGCGTAAACGCAGGAAAGATCGCAATGGTATAAAAAGAACAAAACAACAAAAAAGTAATCAAAGGAATGGGGAAACTGTAAGTGAACATATTCATAGCAGTAATGAGAATTCTCCATCAAATTACGAAAATATGTCCTTGGAAGATAAAAGGATTTTATTAACACAAATCTGTGGAGTAATATCAGAGCATACAAAAAAGTTATGTACAAGATCTATGCGGTGTCCACAACATACAGAAGATCAAAGGAAAGAAATGAGAGCAAATTTGGAATCTGGAAACAATATACAACCTAGCCAAGATAATCTTCATGTAGATGTAGACACCTATGAAGAAGGAGATGGACAAAATTTAAGAGAAGCATTAGCACGTTGGGATCGTGAGGGATCAAGTCACTCGAGTCCAGCGGATTCTACATCTACCACATCTACATCTTCAATAAGTAGAAAACGAGAAACAAAATCAAAAGGAAAAGGCAAAGGTTCCAAACGAGATCGCGGTTCACCCATTTCACAAGGAGATTAAAATTAGTTTGTTTAATTTATTTTTTAATTTTATGAATTTTCTAACAAGGAAAGTTATGTAACAATAATGTTCCTATGCATTGTATAAAGCTTTAAGAATATATTATCCATCATAAAAATATCTACTAATTCTATCCAATGTTTGGTAGATTTTCAAGAACTTGTAATTTAAATACGTACATACGATAATGATTGCTATAATTTGTAACCAATACATACACATATAATATAATGCTTCAATTTTGTTAAATGTTTCGTTATCTTGATACCAGGAGGCGCTACGTTTGAAATATCTGGAACGTTAGCTATATTACCTATATTACTACTTACTAATTCATGGTTATAGGTACCGACGTACGCTATTTTTCATGAAAAATTACTCAGTTGACGCAAAGCTACTGTAAGTGTTTTAGTAGAACAGTAAGCAATTTTAAGTTGCGTTACAAAATAAATATGTTAAATATTCAGTTAAGTACCGCTTCTGGAATAAAACAGATTCTTACTACTGATACTCCCTTGAAGATTTATGAACTACAAGAACAAATCGAAGGATTAGCAGTATGTATACGTGTAGTATAATTAACTGTCCTAACCTTAAAATAATTTGTTTAACGTCGAAAAGGAATTTTAATAATAATTACTAAAACTTATTGCAGGAAAACTTTTACTTCATATACAATGGGAGACTCGTGGATGAAAATGTCACTTGCTATGATGGTTATATTTCTATTATACCGCGATTGTTTGGCGGTAAAGGGGGATTTGGTTCCATGCTACGAGCAATTGGAGCGCAAATCGAAAAAACTACAAATCGTGAAGCTTGTAGAGATTTAAGTGGACGCAGACTTCGTGATATCAACGAAGAAAAAAGACTAAAAGCTTGGATCGAGAAGCAAGGAAAACGAGAAGAAGAAGCAGCAGAACGTAAAAAGAAAAAATTAGAAAGACTTTGCACTGAACCTAGACACGAATTTAAAGATCAAACTTACGAACGCGAAAGATCGGTTCTTACAGAAAGAGTTGGAGATGCAGTTGAAGAAGGTTTCAAAGTTGCTACTTCTGGAATAAAAAGAAAATGTGACACAGAACTAAAACCAAATAAAAAGAAAATTTTACTAGATCTTGATATTGATTCAGATGAATTAGATAGTTCTGATGAAGATGACGAAGGTAATAAAAATTCTGAAGCGAAAGATAATAGAAATAATAAATAGTAACATAAGCAAGAAAACTAAATATGGCTGAAGAGTTTATAAATTAAAATATACTTTTAGTACTATAATTTATTAATAAGCGATTTAAATTATTTATATAGAACTTCTCATGTATGTTAAAATTATTTGATATTTTTGTTCGATATGATAAAGTAATGTAATTCTTATAGCGTTAGATTATAGGACCCGTTCAGAGACTACATTGATAAACTCTGTATACATCAGAAAAATACTCATGATATTACAAATATTGCTCTTTAAATTGATATTAGAATTTACCATCATATACTGTCATATTCTTCCGATAAGTGAACTTATGGAAATAAGACAATTGTTTCTTGTAAATTGAATTATCATGTACTTATATACGTAATTGATCATCTATTTAGGTAATGAAATTAACAAATTGTGGAGTTGATCAATTTGGTTGCTGAAAGGCTTATTTATTGACTGGAATATAGGAATAAAATTAATTCGTATACACATATTTTAAATGTTATATTGTACAAATATAAGCTTAATGTTTAAAATGTATAGAGATACGGTAACTTTGCTGACGTTTTTTTAAAACTCCTTTACTATAGATTAAAATATCCTCCATGCAACTAATTCGTTAGTCAGTTTTACTCCTATTGCAAATAAAGCTACTGATGTAATAAGCGACTTTAGAAAGTCATTTACAAGTACTTTATTGTATTTGCAATGTTGTAGCCATTTATAAAGATTTTTTATGTATCTTGATCCAATTAAATATAGATAATTATTTTCAGTATATTTGTCTTTAATTTGCTTATCTATTGTATGCATCAGAGCACCCAGGCAAACGTAATAATAAGATTTACACCTTTTGTTCGAAATATGCTGAAAATATGTAATTATTATCGATTTATTCCATTTAGCTGTTTAAAATATATTTAAAAGACAAGAAACTAGATGTTTTGTACATAAATCTCACATTTTTCCGAACTTTCTCTTTCTTAATGGACGCTGTATCCGTTAACGTAGGCAATGATAATGTACAAATATTATGTTTCACAGCCATTTTCAATCTTTTTCGTTCCAAAATTTTATATATTTAATTACATCGTTATATAAGATTCAAAATTTTGTGTACAAACGAAACTAAAGAACATCGGAGCCGATATTCTTCTGTTCAATACAAGATTCCTCGTATTAAAGAAGAATAAGAAATAAAAGATACATTTCAGACGCTTAATCTTTGGTATATGTATCGTTTTTCGCTCCTATTTATAGTACTGCATAAGGAAAAATATACTGTTGTAGTAATATCTATAAGGCGATTGCACATAAAATACATATATATATATACACACAACATAAGTGCACTTATATGTGTATAACAATTTACACATTGTTACTAAAATACATCCATTTTATATCTATAAATGTACATAATATACAAATTTATAAATCGCTTAGAATTAAACACAAACGTATTCCTCTCTACTTCTCTCTCTGTCCCTCTAAAGCCATACTTGACTAATTTTTTCATGATTTATTTATGTCTTTCCGATTAAGCATAAATAATTTGTATTTGAAAATTTAAATTAAACTGATAATTGAAATCGCAAAAGACATTTTTAATCATTTGAAGCCTGAGAAAGTTATTGCTTTGTAAAGAAATAAAAAGAAGGAAGAATAATTATACTCGATAGATATTAAAATAGTGGGAGAAGCAGTTGACCATGGTTGTAGACAAATCATTTACTATATAGTTGGCATCCTCAACTCGAACGCGAAGGATGTCATTTTCTGAATCGCGCGTGAAGTACATATGAAAGCCGCAATAATTTAGAAACTATACGTGAAATCTAATATTTTGGTTTTTCTCAACAACTGTTATCATTTTATGCATTAAAATGATTAAGTTATTTGCTTTCGGCATCTTGCAAGCTATGATGCTTGTTGCAGTCGCTCGTAAGTTATTAATTGTCTTTTTAAATAATTTTGTAACACATTAGTCATACATTTAATTGATTAGAATTAGTTTTTTTTTATTACAAAGCTGTTATTTCTTCTATACGCTCTAAAGACGGTTTTTATAATGTAAAATTTAAAAATCAATAATGACAAATTGAACAATAGTTAAAGAATAGTAATCATTACAGAGTAACTGTTAATAATTATTTTCTTCTCATACATTGAAGACAGCTTTCTTTTTTAGAATTTCAAGGACAATCGAATTGTGCGTCACTTTATGGTGTATCCGGTCAGTGCATTGGATTGCGTCAATGTCCACAAATACTGAATATTCTTCAAACGCGACCACTTCCACCACAAACAATAGATATATTAAGACAAATACAGTGCGGTTTCGATAGCCCCACCAACCCCCGAGTATGTTGCCCTATACAAACTCGTACTGAAGATAACAGCAGAATAAATTCGAATTCTGGGCAACAGAATACCAACAATCAAAATACCAACAATCAAAATACCAACAATCAAAATACCAACAATCAAAATACCAACAATCAAAATCTACAATACGATATTTTTAACAATCCTTTGCTTCCTACTGAATGCGGCAAAGATTTAACTCAAAGGATCGTCGGTGGAGAACGCGCAGGACTCGACGAATATCCATGGATGACACTCTTGGAATATCTTACATGTAAGAAGTTAAAAACAGACAGGATGCTCTAAAAGTAGTTAACGCAAACATGGGAAATAATTAACATAAAATTATATTTTTCAGTAAATGGAGTATATACAGCTTGTGGTGGAGTCCTTATAAGTCAGCGTTATGTTCTAACGGCAGCTCATTGTGTCAAAGGCAAAGATATACCAAGCACATGGCGACTGCAAAGTGTCCGTTTAGGCGAATATAATACTGATACCAATCCTGATTGCATTAAAGACGATGAAAACAGCGAAATTTGCGCGGACGAAACCGTGTCGGTTGAAATCGAAGAACAAATTGCTCATGAGAATTACCGGCCACGATCAAGAGATCAGAAATATGATATCGCTCTGCTAAGATTGTCCCGTGATGTTACGTTTACCAATTACATAAAACCTATTTGTCTGCCACCAAATGCTTCTCTCGGACAAAGGCTATCTGTTGCCGGCTGGGGAAAGACAGAGAACGGCTCATCGTCGAACATAAAACTAAAACTTACGTTGCCTATAGTTGACGAAGTACAATGCCAGATGACTTATGGAAACGTAGGAGTGGCGTTGGGTTACGGGCAGATTTGTGCCGGTGGACAAAAGGGTAAAGATTCGTGTAGAGGAGATTCTGGTGGATCTTTAATGGCTGTAGAACGAGATCGGAATGGTAGCGCTAGATGGGCAGCTGTTGGTGTTGTTTCCTTTGGACCATCACCTTGCGGTATGCCTGGATGGCCTGGCGTTTATACTAGAGTAATTGATTTTGTACCCTGGATACTCAACAAAATGAGACCTTGATATCTATATTGAAATTATTCGTCCAGTCTCTATCTAATCTTTATACATGTAAAATTGTAAATGCATACGCGCAACGATGAAAGGAAGATGAATTAAAAGATATATAATATATATCATTTGTTAAATAATATGAAAGAAAATATAACGTTCTTCATTTTATGAAAGAAAATTATTTTTGTTCTCTAGTGATAGGGTTACGTTACATCAGTAGTATAACTAATAACTATCGGTCTCAGAGGTTATCGATTTTGTAGGACATACAAACTATCACGCAAGATATACATGTACAATTATTTTTATATTTTTCCTTAATAAATGGAGTGCATGTTATTTTCAAAACAATATGCGGAAATTATCAAAGGAATGATTCGTCTACTGCGAAACTTATCGTCTCCTGTATGACGTAAAACGTTCGATGTTAGAATTGGAAATCCCTGAATCGTTTTAATAAGCCAACCCACAGAGTCAGAATGATGAAATTTATTCTCAGAAATACATTTTATATATATATATATATATATGTGTGTGTGTGTTTGTGTGACTTATTCCAACATCAGCAAATATATAACGCAGAAGAAAATATATTTTTATTTCGATGCTTTACTTGATTATGATAATTATAGGTCAATAAAGCAAATAAATATCTGTCGATACAATATAACGTTCTTATTAGTCGAGAACATTTTCCTTATAACCCCTTCCCTCTAGATATTTTTTCCAATCGAAAGGCTCATCGGACTCAGCAGATGGCAGCAGTTAGTACGCCGAAGACTCTTCGCGCGAGTCCATTCTCTGCAAAAGTAATAAAAGTAAACAGATTTTGAAACTGGTTTGTCCGCTTGCTGGTTTGAAAGATCTCAAGTACGACTTTATTATTTTTCTAAATATCGATGTTTCTTGCTTTCAATCGGAAGGAGCGAAACAAGTAAAGGAATCGAGAAAGAATTTGTAACCGAATATTATCCGAGTTAAAAAAATACAAATCTTCAAACTTGTTTCAAGAAAAAGAAAAAGATAGCTTTGACGATAGTTTCGAAATCGACATGATTAATCATTTACTTTTAGTCGGAATTTTGGTTTTATGCGGAGTCAGTGCGCGTGAGTGGGATTTCCTAAATACTTACTCGCAATATAGCAACAATCCTCATACAATTACTAATTATTGTCAAGCATATTAACAATCATGTTACAGATTTATCTTCATACAAAATCTCTTATTCTTTTACATTTTTGTTCAATGAAAATTAATATATTAAGTGGTTATTGCGAAAAAAGAAATAATTTATACAGGCATTACTGCTGAAAAGTAAAAATTTTGTTCGATTGATATACGTATAACAAGCTTCTACTAACATATCACGCGCGTAATATCTTACTTGCACTTTATTTATGATTGTGATCAGTACCGTATACAGCAACTGGAGAGAGATAAACTTATGAAACGTTACTCTGAATACTAACGACACACGACGTTTCTTCTTTCGTAGTATTAGTAACATTACTTATACTTTGAAACTAATTTGATAATCCGAGCAATCCACTTCTGTAAACAATGGATTTTTTTTTATAGAAGATATATGTACCACGCCACAGAATAAAATTGGTGTTTGCATCAATATACACAGTTGTCAACCAATTATACAGATTCTTAAACAACAAAAACCATTGACAAAGGATACTCATGATTATTTGATCAGTTTACAATGCGGATTTGAGAATAAAGATCCCAAAGTGTGTTGCGAACAGGTAAACATTTTATGTAACCATTATGATCTGCTCTGATGATGATGTGCTCTTCTGATATAAAATGAAACGCGTTACGACAAAATATTACAATTTTAGCGTTCGTTAGTAACTGAATCCACAACCACAACGACAACCACAACGACAACCACAACAGAAAATCCGTTGTTTACTCCCGATCCCCCAGACGTCACGAATCATCCGAATTTACCATTACTGGATCATAATTTGTGCGGCCCAGTATCGCAAGAAAAGATTTTTGGTGGCAATAAAACACGCATATTTGATTTTCCATGGATGGTATTGCTCGCCTACAATACTGGGAAACAAATCCCAGAATTCAAATGCGGAGGATCGTTAATCAATAAACGATACGTACTCACCGCTGCTCATTGTATTACAACGCTACCGAATGGTAAGTCAATCGTAAAATGTGTTACTGATGAATTCATTTGGTTCAATATTTTATTCAGAATCAATATCTTAGATTTTACATTAATTGGAGTACGACTAGGAGAGCATAATTTAAATACCGAGCGCGACTGTGACAAAGACGAAGACGGTATCGAAATCGTTTGCGCTGAAAGATATCAAGATATCGGTATAGAAAGTACCCACTTCCACCCACGATATACAAGAGCGAGATTACAAAATGACATTGGTTTGCTGCGACTGGATCAGGACGCTGATTTTAGACCACAAAATGTGCGGCCTATTTGTATGCCAATCGGATCAGCTGCAACTTTGACCAGAAAAAAAGTAAATGCGATAGTAAAACACGAGTATCTTTCCATGTCACTTTTCTTTTTTTCTAATCGTAGATACTGATGATTCTTACGTTTTGCGATAGGTATTAGTAACGGGTTGGGGCGCAACTGAACGTGGACCACAGAGTTCGGACTTGCTGCAGGTTCAGTTACAACTAATATCCACAAATAAATGTGCAGAACTGTATGAAAGACAGGCGCAAATTTGGTACAAGCAAATATGCGCGGGCGGTAAAAGCGGTATGGATTCTTGTTCGGGAGATAGCGGTGGGCCACTTCAGGCTCCAGGAAATTATAACCATAATTTAAAATTCATTCAATATGGAGTTGTCAGTTTTGGACCTCGCATGTGTGGTACGACAGGAATACCTGGAGTTTATACAAAGATTGTGTATTACCTAGATTGGATTTTAGATACTATCAGGGCATAAAATATGCACACATAATATTGAAACTGTTGTTAATATTTTTAAAATTAAGAATTTATAGACTTTAAACATCGAATAAAAATTAATCTGGTATTGTTAATTTCAAAGCGATTTATTTATAAATTCTTTTTCTGCTATAAATATTATATTAAAATTATACATAAGTCTAATTATTTGTATCGTATAGTTCGTACCGTTTCAATCTGTTTCCTAATAACATTGAAATAAATTTTTATGGATTTTAATTTTTGTTTAAATATGGTGTAAAATACGTGAAGAAATATAAAGATAAGGAAAAAAAAACATATGTTTCCCGTACATGTTCCTCTTATATTATACATGTATGTAATCACTTTAAGGTTTTCAGTCACTATCTGATTACGATTAATTCTAATTAATCAAATTGTCAAATTGCTTAATGAACCCCTGATAACCTTCTCTCTGTATTATATTTGTTGCTCTGTGTCGCATTTGCATTGCGATCATCGTTAGAGATTAAACATTCATTATCGCATAATTTATCGCTTTTATTTTTATCTTCGATCAGCTCTGCGGTTTCATTTATAGAGACTTTCAATTGACTACGATCTCCTTTTCTTTTCGAAAGTGAAACTTGAGATTTAGTTATCGACTTTTCAGATGATTGCGATATAGACGTATTAGATGAATTTAAGGACTGACTCGCTGATAAGAAAGTATGCGACGAACTAGTTGAGGATCCGGAATCCGATCTAGAAATGTTTTCGTAATTTATATACGAATTTGCAGTGTTCAATGCTTGTCTATATTGCTTTTTCTTTTTCTTTTGTTGCAACATTTTTGAACAACTAACATTCTGTTGTCCTTGTGTCAACGACTGATAACTCTACAAGGATATTCTCATAAGTGATTACTTCCTCGATATTTATTATTATTATTATTATTATTAGCAATAATAGTAGTAATAATAATAATGACAGCAGTTTATCTTAAACTCTCTCCTCCCCCCCCCCAAAAATAAATTTTATGCACCTGAGAATGACGTTCAAAAAGTGTTGGTATTTGTGTTACGCGATCCAGCATCATTTCCATCTGCAATCGATGACGTTCCTCTTGTTCACGCGCTTCATCGCGACGGAGTAAAGTTCGAATACTAAGATCTCTTTCGTGCTCGTGCCTTACAATTAAAATTTATGTAGTCATAACAATATGAAGAGTAATTTCTAATCTTTACTATTGCGCAACACCCCACTGAAGAAAACAAGCAAATAACTATTTATTTTAAAAAATCGCACCTCGCAGCAGATCTCAGAGCTCGCCATACTGGATTACGTCCAATCAAAGATTGTCTAATTTTTGCTGTTTGTTCTCGACGTCTCTCTTCCATTTTTTCCTTTATTTCACGTTCCAATTTTTCTCTATAATATAAATACAAGTGCAATCATTTTCTTCCCTTGTAATATAAATCAAAGACACATATGTATTTGTTATATTATGTATTATACCGTGATACTTGACATCTTAAAATCGCTGCTAAATTGTTTCCTCGTATTGGCAAAATAGGCATCGTTGATTTATGTGTTTCTACTGGCGTTAAATTATTATCTGGCAGTTGTGAAACATTCTTGTCCTTAATGTCTTCGTTGCAGTTTTTAACTGTGTTCTGTAAACGTGTGCACGCGGATTTAACGCGTTCTCGTCTAGCCATTGACGGCGGTAAAGACGATGACTTCATTAATTGCGCTGCTCTTAACTGTTTTTGTAACTGCCTGAAAATTGTGCTGCTTTTTAGTTAATCGAATATAGGACGAGAACTGTATATACTGTATTGACCTGTAATATTCGTCTTCAAGCATACGGTCGTATATTTCTGTGCTGAAAAGATTCTTTGGTACTGGTTTAGCCTTAAACTTCGTATTCATGTTAACGCTTTTGCTACGAATTTCTGGGCTAGATCTTGCTAAAAATCGCCAAGCTCGACGATCACATTCGAGCCTAAAAGGACGTACCTGAGACATTAAATTTAACGCACTTTCTTCACGGATTATACGACTCCTAAAAGATAAATGCTCGTGATAACTATAGATTTATTACTATACATAGAATTAAAGCCGAAATATATTCGATACTATGAATTATATTGGAAAATATTTCAAATAAAATTTCAATGCCTTCAAGAGGCACATATTCTAATGTTATTAGTTATTCTCTACGTAGGCGTGTAAAGATCATGTGAAGATCAACTTTTTTTTAAATGATATGAAAGACAAGGAAGAATGTAAAGTGATACTTTTGTATTTGTTTTTCTTGTTTCTCATACAACAGCTTTTACAAAATAAACATTAAAATATCTCCTAGCTAAACAAACGAACTTCTCAACGTACGTAGATGTATACTTTTTTGTAGCGAATGTCCAAATGAATTGATTAATGTATTAAAAAATATGTGATTACATTTAAAAAACATCGATGACCTTCACATGTCCTCTACGCGTTCACCTATGAAAAAACTAATCATATCAAATTATGTCTCTCTTATATACCTGAAACATTTCTAAATATTGTCGAAAACAAGTGAGATATTGCAAGTTATAAAATTAGGTAGACCATCCTGTATATTGATAAAAACGAAAAGGATTATTATATGTGAAAGACATAAACAAACACAAACCGTTCTTCCTTTTCAGCTAATAATTTGTCATAAAGTGGAATTTTTGACGTTAGCGGAATTGATCTCACACGTCGTTTTCTACGCAGACTTTTCTTATTACTTTTTAAATTTTTGCATTTTTGTTCCTCCATTCCAGTATGTGCCATATACTTTCCTGCTTCTTCTCTAAAGCATACAGTAGCGTATTATTAACTTCATGTGAATAAATATTTAATTTGTTGTTACAGAAAATATAGTTCCTCACCGTACAGTAAAACTAAATGGCTTAGGTACGGTAGGGTGCCATTCCTTTGCGATATTGGCAGGCAAACTTCTTGTTTCTATACTGTCTGTATCACTTTCAATATTATCATTGCTACTTAATTTATTCCATGTGCTCCAATTTTTATTACCCAAATATATTTTTTTCTTACATACTGTTCCATTTTCTTCATATCTTCTACTACATTTAGAAATATCAATAATTACAGCCTTAATAAGATACAAGAAATTTGCTTTTACATAATTATATATACCTATTTGTCAAAAGATCCTGCTCTTCTGAGAGTTCATTAAATTTACTAGAAAGAAAAAGTAAAGGACTAGGAGTTCGAGATTCTTCTAAGTAACACCTTTTGCCATTTAATGTTAAATCATTAATATCATTCTTACTTTTAATCTTTAATTTTTTATTATATTTAGGTAGAGAAAATTTAGGCACATTTGCATTTTCATGATCGATCAGTGAATTTTGTAAATTTTTCAATAATAATTTTTGTTTCCTTCTTAAGTAATCAACTTTTTGCTTAAACTGCTCATTTGATAAATGATAAACTTGATCATAGTTTGGTATACTGTCCAAAAATTCTAAAAAGTTGTCCATAATTTCTGTAGGACTTGATATTCCAGATTCACTAATAAGTTGATCACCTTTCATAAGATTTATTTGATGTTTATTATAAAGATTATTATCTTCTTTGTCTTTTTTAGATCCAATGCGTTCATAAGATGGGATTGGTTGCCCGCTGTAAGGATCTACTGGAACTTTTATACAAGAATTGTAAAAAGATGTACCTCTGTGCTCTGTCATTGCCTATTGCAACAAATAAATTTGTACTATTATATTTATGTTTTCAGTCAAAATTAATAAATTTTATTTGATATACGATTACTTATTTATTAATTTCTTTCTCTAACGTTGAACAAAACATATTTTAAGTGTATACTAGTTTAAGTTGTAGTCAAAAATTTAGTTTTATTACTTAACTTTAATTTTAATTTTTGAATGAATGAGTCAATATAACTTATAAGACAAATTATTATATATATTTAAGATAAATTATTATAAATTATTTCTACAAACACACACACATACACATAAATAAACCTTAATACTTACCTTTGAATTTTATTATGGAATATTAACGATATTTATTTATAAACTATAGATAGGTTTAAAAATCAGGAATAAAAAATTGTAATTTAATTGTATATATTATTAATTTGTATTTATTATATAATACATTTGTTAAATTTCCTGTAATTCGAGTCTGGATCTTTACTTTGTAAGGTTCTAATCGCTTCACATAACAACTCCTGGGGAAGATCAATATAACCTCGTTATATTCATCACCATGGTGAATAAAATGCTACACTAATAAAGATCTTTTTACAATAATTAGTTAGAAATTAATAAAATTAAACGTATTAACATTTAAATTAGAAAAAATAAGTAATTTATTGTTTACAGAAATAATTGAAATTGCTGTATGAATATATTAATAATTACAATTATATAAATTTCAATCACACATATTCTAAATTATACGAGTTTCATTTTATACGAATTTCAAAGAATTCATTTATATACATTTCAAACGTTATACTACATCAGAAAAAATGATCATCATTTAAAATTTATTATTACTAAATATCAAATAATAGATTATTACTACTAAAATATATATGAATACTAAAACGTTTTGTTATGCCATTATTTGTCATAAAATGATACGAAGCGTTTTCATATGCATATTTGAATAAAATAGAACATTTCAAAATTTGTTAATATAACAAGTATTAAATGATCTGGACAAAACTATGTACCGAGATACTGATTGAAATAACACATTTAAATAATTAAAGAATTCAAATAATTCTATTAAAATAACTGTATAAATAAAATAATTTTATGGATTAAGTGAAATTGAAAAAGAGTTGTATTTAATATATTTTTGATGTGATTTATTTTAAAGCAATTTCATTCTGCGTTATAAATTATATGTATTTAGAGTATATAAATAAAAGGAAAATGGCGACTTTTATGAAAACGGTAATATATTGTGATGTTTTATCATCAGCTTTAAAAAGATATAAATATTTTATTCCTAATGGATCAATGCTAGTGACGAGAAATTATTCTATCTCTGCCCAAAACCATGAAAATTATGATATTATTATTACTGGAGGTGGTATGGTTGGAACCACACTTGCATGTGCAATAGGTTAGATTTTTTACTTATTTATAATTAATTATAACAATATTTTTAGTGTTTACCAAAGATTTGATAAATAACATACTTGGTGAATGTTTCTTTACGTCTTGCAATAGCAAACAATAGGAAACTTGAATGTAAGAAGATTCTTTTGTTGGAAAGTGGTAAACAGTTTGAATATAAATTTCAAGAAGAATATTCCAATCGTGTGGTTGCTTTAAATCAACAAACACGTACCTTACTTTCAAGCATAGGAGCTTGGCAACACATTGCAGCAACACGTTATTCTACTGTACAAAAAATGCAGGTATTGAAACATTGATAATAGTAACAAACAACAGTTTTACAGTAATATTCCAAATATTGTAATTAAATATGAAATTTGTAGTAGGTTTGGGATGCATGCTCTGATGCTATGATAGTATTTAATGAAGATTACTTGAATGAAGAAATTGCTTATATAGTTGAAAATGATCTATTATTACATGCAGTCAATAAACAGTTGATAAGTAAAGAAAATGTAAACGTAATTTATAACTCTAAAGTTGAAAATATTAAATTACCTAAAATACCAGAAGAAAATGCAGAAATACAATTAGGAGATGGAACAAGATATAAGGCTAAGTTATTGGTAAGTAAATAATACCCATAATTTAAATAGTTTAAGTACTATACATTATATTGAGTTATTACTCTCTCGTAAAATACTTTCGACTTTATTAGTTAACCTATCCAAACGTGTAGCGATATTGAAAGAACATCTTTTTAGTTCTGTAGCTAATTCATTCAATTGTTGATTATTATCACTGGAAGTACTACTATAAAGTCGATTTAATCTAGAAGTATCCATTCCTATACTATATGCATTATATATAGATGTTCCTTTTGTTTTCACGTTCCTATGTTTTCTTTCAATTACTAAGCGATAGATAGCTTTTATTAATTCTTGTGGTAAACGTTTCTCACGGGGATCATTAGGACGAATATAAATTGCACAATAATGAGGTGGATGTAACAGAAGTGCACCCCGTCTGCATGCTTTCATTATAGCATTTGGTGCATGGTCTAAAAATTTGGAAAATAACATGTGTTCCAAGTGTGCTACTAATTCTGCTCTGCGTACTAATCCATCCAATCCAGCACATCTTCTTAATTCTTGTATATCTGACACTGCAAGGCCCATCATTAAATTTGCCAAAATTACTGTTACTAAAATGACAAAACATAGAAACATGAAGTGCGCAGTACCAGAATATTCAATCGGTGCTTCTGTACTAATGAATATATCTTCAAATTCTAATTCTCCAGACATCATCACAATACTTTTCAACAAAGCAATTAATGGATATTTAAATGAATCATTTTTAAGTAATACATTGAAACCTAAAGAAAACCCTATTATAAGAAATATGTAAGCACCAAGAAATTTAAAAAAGTTAATTGATACTTGAGTAAACATTTGGATATAAAGGCCAAACATTGGAAATTTTCCAACCACCATCATTAATACTATCCAAATTAATAAAATACTCACAGCAGCTATATGATGTTGCCAACCATGACATTGCCATCCAGGGCAATGTTTTGGCATATTTAATACAATACTTGATAGTAATACAACACTCCATTGAAGCCAATTTTCCCATCTTTTAATATAACTGCACATACCATGAGCCATTTGAAAAAATTCTTTACCAGCTATTGTGATAGTAAATATTAGTACTGGCCAAAAAACTATTCCTCTGAATTTTTCAACTACAATATATGCCGTAAAAAATGCAACAAATATGGAATGGAATATCAAACTCAATAAGAAAAATTTGCGAATTCTTAACCATTTTAAATAAAGGAAACTCTCACACAAAGGATGTTTCAATATATGTCTTTGTCCAGATTCCACCAAACATAGCATCAAATTTGTTTCTCCTCTGCCACCTGACACTAATGGTCTAAAATCTAATCTTAATTCACAGTCAACATCACCTAACTCATGATCATGTAAAGAAATTGCTTGATCCAAACGTGAGATAAATCGTGGTAATACATCTGGAGTTCTGCGTACAATAAAACTTAATGCAGATATACCACCCTTTGTTCTAGCAGTGAGATCTGCTCCCTTTGACAGTAACATTATTACTGTTGGTGAATTTTCATTCAACGCTGCAATATGTAAAGGTGTATAACCAAATTTGTCTGCTTTGTTGACTAAAGCACCAGCCTATTATGATAAAGAAATTATGTAATTATGGATAGTTACATATATTTTATGTAGCATTCTTAAAGAGTAAATGAACCTGTAACAAAATTTTCACCAATTCGATTCCTCTAGCAGATTTTGTAACTGCAGCATGTAATGGAGTACGGCCATCATTGTCTTCGATGTTAACTTTTGCTCCAATATTCAGAAGCACATCTAATGTTTCCATAGATTGAGACAAAACTGCTAAGTGCATTGGTGTTTGTCCCCTTGCATTTTTTGCTTCGCATTCTGCCCCAGCATCTAATAGCAACTTTGTACATTCAGCACTACCTTCTTCAGCTGCTAGATGTAATGGAGTAGATTTCATAGAACCAAACCGAAATCTTACATCTGCTCCATAAGTTAACAATAGTTTTGTGCACATAACAGAACCCAAACCAGCTGCTACGTGCAATGGTGTTTCTGTATAAACCTATTTAATTGTCATATCTAAATATAAAATATAAATAATTAGAAATATTTTAGTATTCATGAGTAAAAACCTGTGGGTTGTTAGGAGAGGCACCTGCTTCTAATAAAGCTTTGACACAATCTGCTGCATTATTTAATACAGCATAGTAAAGAGGGCTTTTTCCATGTATTCCAGCATTTACATCTGCTTGTGATTTTATTAAACATTTAACACAAGCAAGGTCTCCAGTAGCAGCAGCATAATGCAAAGGTGTATATTTTTTACCAAAATCCCATTCACATGGATTTGCTCCATGTTGCAATAATTCTTCCAAAATTGTTAACGAAGCTGTACAAGCAGCTAAATGTAATGGTGTCCTATAAAATCAATGGATTCATATTTTGGAATTAGACTTTTCTATTATCTTTTACATACCTGCCATCGCTATCTCTAGCTGAAATATTTGCATTTTTACTTTTTAGTAAAGCTTTGACCACATTTACATGACCTAAATAACAAGAAACTAGGAGACAAGTATTTGGCCATCTCAGGAAAAGTTGTAGTGCAGTTGTATTTAAAGCTGCTTCATTTTCAATATTCAATAACGTATTTTGTATACATCTATATTAAACAGAGATTGAATTATATTTATTATAATTTTTATTATTGTGACTAATAATTAATGTACCCAGTTGAAAATGAAGATGTAGCAGTTTTTTGAATATTCACTGATAATTTGCTATCATCAGTGTTTAAAAATTCATGTAAAACTTTATCCAAAATATCTCCATGCAAGGTAGGAATAACAGAAAGTGCATGCTTTCCTGCTGGAAGATCAGATAGAGCTAAAATAATTTCCTCTGTATTCCATGGTTGTTGATTTGTTATTTGTCTCTCTTTTATATGACATATAACAGGCTCAGAACTGTACTCAGAACTTATACTATCTTCTTCCATGTCGTTCATCCAAATATCTTCACAATCATCCTAGAATTATTGACATTTAATAAATAGCAACGAAACTTATATTATCAATTCATACTTACTATATAATTATTAACAGTAGAAGATAACGACATGATATTTGATCCTTCTTGAAAATTATGATTGTTCAAAAATTTATTTAGTAATGGTTTATTGTTTAAGATTGACATTTTGTTTTGAATATCTTTTTACTTTTCAGTTGACACTTAGTAAATATCTAGAACATTAATTATATTTTTGTTCCTAATTTTACTACATACAAAATTTATGCTATATATCTTCAGTTTCAAACACTTAAAAACTATTTTCAGTTGCCAGTATGGTTTGAAACAGGACCACACATGTTCTTTGGTGTTTATAAAACAGAACTGGCATATATTTAGCTCTGACTACTTCTTAACATATATGTATAGCAAGATAAAGTTCTAAATTATTAGATTCTTTCTTTTAAAACATTTCTTCTGTTAATATAAGTAGAATATAAAATTGTTATTTTCATATAACTTCACTTTCAGAATATATTTCTGTGTATAATAAATAACATCATCCTTTGAAGACAAGATTGTACTTTGCATTTATTACATATAAATCAACAGATCAAGTTAAACAGTTTTTTCATTTCTTAAGCTGTTTTCAGGACTTATTTTTAATTTAACATAAAACTATTATGCATATAAAAAATATACAATTTGTGATAAATAAATAAAAATGTATAAAAATATTATAATTTTATTGAAGGCAATTTTTTAGAAAACTAGATATAAAACACTTTAAAATTACATTTAGAATTCCTATTGAAATGCGGCACAGAACTGAAGTTATTTCCAGACATATTGTCAGTTTCTCGCTCCCTCTCTATATATACTTCCCCTTCCTATGATATGATGTTTGTGTTATCTTCATATAATATCACAAACTATAATTTAGTTATTCTTTATTATTGTAATATATTTCATTCACATCAAACCACTATAATATATGCTTCAGGTTGGAGCAGATGGTGTAAACTCATTAGTACGACAAACAATGGGTACACAATATGTGAAATGGGATTATAATCAAATGGGTATAGTTGCTACTCTTAAATTATCAGAGGTAAAAGTTATATTATTATAAAATTTCTGTACTAGTTAATTATATTCTGAATTATGTATTAATTTTATTTTTATTTCAGTCCACAGAAAATATTGTTGCATGGCAAAGATTTTTACCATCTGGACCAATAGCACTACTTCCAGTAATAACTTTTTGTTCTTATAAAGTAGTTAGAATCAATCAAAAAACATCACTAACTTGTCTTTCTGGGTTTTATAGTTAACAAATTGTCTTAGTTCTCTTGTATGGTCATTACCAACAGATGAAGCAAAAAGACTTTTGCAAGTTTCAGAAGAAGAATTTGTTGATAATGTAAACAATGCGTTATGGAAAATTTATCCAAAAGATGGTATAGTTGAAAGTGGTTTACGAGCACTTCAACAATTACTTGAAAGTTTATCTTTACAAACTGGAGTAATGAGACAGTTACAACCATCGGTATCAGATATTTCAAAAGGATCTCGTGCAGCTTTTCCTTTGCAATTTGGTCATTCTGTATCTTATGTTCAAACAGGAACTGTTTTAGTAGGGCAAGTAAAAAGTCTATGTATATTTAAAATACATTTTAATATATGTATATAATTATATATACTTATATTATTATATAATTATATATAATTATCTAATACATATAATTATTATTTAATGTATTATATATAATTTTGATACAAAATATTTCAGTGATGCAGCACATAGAGTCCATCCATTAGCTGGTCAAGGTGTAAATTTAGGTTTTGGAGATGTAACAACCTTGGTTCAACTTCTTGCAGAAGCAGTTATAAATGGAATTCCTTTAGGGAACATAATGTATTTAAAGAAATATGAAACAGAAAGACAACGATATAATGTTCCAATGATGCTTGCTATTGATGCACTGCATCGATTATACAAAGGAACTGCAGCGCCTATTGTACTAGCTAGAAGTTTGGGATTGCAATTGACAAATGCTTTCCCAGTGGTAAAGGTGAAACATAATACATTTGAAAATAGCAAAATTAAGTGTACTATGATACTCTATATTAAATCAAGCTTCATTGTCTGTTTTAGAAAGCTTTGATAGAACATGCATCTGGACAAATAAAGAATCAGTGATACTAACAACCAATGTAAATATTTATTAATAGTAACATAGTATTATTATTTTTGTAGTCAAACTTTTGACGGTAATTATATGTGATATATAAATAAAAAATTTGTTTAATGGAATTATAATTTTATATTTCATTTATGTTAAAAATTTATGTAGTATATTAAAAAATGGAAATACATATGTACACATATATGTGTATACATACATGTATATATATTCATATATAACATTTTCAATATTTTTTGTGGTTGATTATAGTTATTACATGAATAAATTCTTTTACTTAGGATACCCCATATTTAACATAATTTTCCATAAAATTGTACAAAAAAAATAAGATTAATGATTTATAAAATTTATCAAAATGTAACTCCATCGATATGCAAACGTAAAAACATCGACACAATGGTGATCAATGCAAATTGATTATTATTCCATGTGAGCAAAGATCAACAGTTTCAAAATGAAAACAGGTTATGATGTTACATTCTCAGAAAAAACAAGTAATTAGACAAATATTATACAAAATTAACCAAATACTTTTGAAGAGAAAATTAAAAAATTGAGATATTCTTAAATAGAATTTTTTAATACACAAATTCTGTTACACTTTTTACATGTACATAGTTTAGGTTACTATACAATCTTCGAAATTTCGGAACAATTTATAAGTCAGAAAGACACAAGTGGATTGCATAATTTTTATACCTGATTTCGTGTTATATAATGATGTTTTATTGAAGAAAAAAGGATTTTAACCTACTGCAAAGTATGTAATTTCATTCTTGTAAAGGTTATAAATATTTACATAATTATTGTATAAAAATTGACAAATCTTTTTACCATTGTTTCATTTCAGATTCATCATATATAAAACTAAACAGAAAAAAAGTATTTGACAAATTTTTAATTGATAATGTTTTTATCAAAAAGATTGCTAAAAGGTGCAGCTCTTGGAATAATTGGATTGGGAACGCTAGCATCCTTAAGAGCAAATGAATATGACTTGGGAGCTATAGGTATTGTACGATTAGGACGTGCTGCAATTACTGTCTTTATAATTGGGAGGCATTATAGAAACGAATTGTATGGTAGTAATTTAGATCCAAATACTCAGGAATATCTTGACTTAAAATCAAAAGTACATAAATATGGAGCACAGAAACTCTTAGAACTTTGCTGTGCCAACAAAGGTGTTTATATAAAAGTAGGTCAACATATTGGCGCACTAGATTATTTATTGCCATCAGAATATGTTAATACAATGAGGGTGTTACATAGTTCAGCACCACAGTCATCTTTTAAAGATATACTTACTGTTATTAAAGAAGATTTCAAGAAAGATCCATACGAAATATTTGAAAGTATTGATCCTGAACCTTTAGGCACTGCTAGTTTAGCACAAGTTCATAAAGCTATATTAAAAAATGGTGATGTTGTTGCTGTTAAAATTCAACATCGATCAGTTAAAACAAATTCCTATGTAGATATAAAAACTATGTCAGCCTTAGTAAAATTAACATCATTAGTTTTCCCTGATTTTAAATTTGATTGGCTTGTTGATGAAACTAAGAAGAATATTCCTCGAGAGTTGGACTTCACTCAAGAGGGAAAAAATGCAGAAAAAATTCAAAATATATTTTCACATTATCATTGGTTAAAAATACCAAAAATACATTGGGAAATTTCATCACCACGAGTTCTAGCAATGGAATTTTTGGAAGGAGGACAAATTAATGATTTAAAATACATTCAAACCAGTAATTTAAATCCATATGAAGTTAGCAGTAAATTAGGTCGACTTTATAGCCACATGATATTCATTGTTGGTTTTGTACATTCAGACCCACATCCTGGTAATGTTTTAGTCAGAAAGAAAAATAATGAAGCAGAAATTATACTTCTAGATCATGGATTGTATGCAAACCTCTCAAATGAATTTCGATGGGAATATTCTAAGCTTTGGTTGGCAATATTTGATGGCAATAAAGCTGCAATGCAAACGCATTGTGCTAATTTAGGTGTTACAGATTTGTATGGATTATTAGCTTGTATGGTATCAGGACGATCTTGGAATACAATTATAACTGGTGTTCAGAAAACCAAATATGATATACAGGAAAAAGAGGAATTTCAAAAAGAAATACCAAATTTATTACCACAAATTAGCACTGTACTAGACAAAGTGAATAGGCAAATGTTATTAATCCTTAAAACAAATGATCTTATGCGTTGTATCGAATATTCCCTCAACACAGAATCAAGAATGTCAGGAATGTTGGAAATGTCAAAATGTTGCATACAATCTGTATATGGAGAGAAACTGAAAACCTGCACGAATATATGGGAAAAGTGGAAAGTTTCTATATCTCAACAATGGGCACTATTTAAATTATCATTATATTATATATACTTGGGAGCATTAAATTTTAATATACAAAATTCTGTTAACTCATTTATGAAAAACGAATTTTATACTTTTTAACATTGATTTTGTTCTAGGAAAAATTTTCTATGTATAATATAACATTTCTTTAAATATGTTATGATTTGATTAATTTAAACAAATAATTTTAAAAAGTTCTATTTATTTATAATATATTCTTTTTCACTATTCTATTTTTCACATTTCGCATTTTCATAAAAATAAAAATTAATTTATGATAAATAAGAACAATATTCATATTAAACAAGTGTTTAATATGAACTTTAAGAATTGCGCAAATTTATTGTGCCATATCTTGATTATCCAATAGTCAAAGTTATCCCAATTAAAGAATAATATTAAATATTTATTCCAAATATGTATGTATATACATATTATATACAATCGTACATTTTTATTTTATTATTATAATTTATCACATTTACGTATATTTTGCATGAGATGCGAAAACTTGTATATTTTGTTTCTCCTTCATTAGTGGAATAGAAGAAATAAATTATATCTGATCGATTATTGTATTTAATAATAAAATATGACAATAAATACGTTTGATCATGAATCATGTTTTTAATGTATAGATAAAAATTTTTTTTTAATTCTTTTTTTAAATTTTTCCATCGAGACAACGATCTACAGTGAGATCCGTTATAAAGAGACGTAATAAAGTGCACGCGTACCGAGCAAAAATTCAAAGTCGATTTTCTCGAAAACAAAGCCTCAAACGAAAAATTTTTATTCTATATTTTCGACTCCTTTTTTCGCGTAGAATCACCCCGTTTCCGCTTGTACCACCAGTTACCAACCACCCTGTATATATTAAATTCATGGGTAGAAAAATGTTAAGAAATTACATGTGTTTATTTAAGATGTATTCTTAACTTAATTACGTCACAGAGGTAATTTATCATTAAAACTTAAATCAATTTTACGAAGTACAATATTTATTAAAAGTATAGAAATTCATTAATTTATATCTATATATAATAATAAAATAATATCATTTATTCATTAACTTTCTACAAAAATTAGTTTAAATGAGAAGATTTATCGTTTTCGATAATCTGCTGCAATTTCATTATACTCTATCTTTGATCACGATATAAAAATAGAATTAACGTGTAACTGCAACTGACTAAACCATTTCTAAGAAAATTAAATGTGAACTTAAAATATATACATGTGTATACTTATGTACCTAACTATATACGTACGCGTATATGTATCTCTCATGCGTCATTTATTAGTCACGATTCAAGAATGCTTCATTATAACATAAAGAATACATATCTTTATTTTATATCTATTAAATAAATTGTATCAATTAAGAGAAAAATGAAATATGATAATTATTAATGTTATGGAATATGGTTAAAGATTCTGAAATATTTCAATTTTCAAGAACTTTTAGATTTAAAGAAAGTAATTTTTGTTTTTGTATCGTGAAATAAAACGTAAAATGGAAAGCATCTTATTACACTCATTGAGTATAATGTGTAACAGCGTAAAAGTTATTCCTGACAGTGTTGCCATGTATTGCAATTTCTATAATGTCAAACATTTTTATATCAACGTTATTGTTTTTGTATTTGTAATGCCGCAATTTTATTTCATACTAGTGTTTCAAACAAATAATTAAAAGTCAATAGATCTTGTTTATATATTTGATTTGATTTGTAATTTAATAAATTAATATTTTTACAAGATTTATGTTCAATATATATATTTATTTAGTTACTATTCTCTGCTTATTTCATACGAATTTCATAGTCTACAGCCTACTTTATTTATTATATATGTAACTTAAAATCATTGGAATAATGATTTTTACATTAACATTAATGTACGTGCCAAATAATACGTGCACCGGAAATGACGTTAACAAAATGGGGCACGCAATTGGTTAGAATTAACCGCAGTACATCTTCATACGCTATTGATTATTTCCTGTAAATGAAGAATTTTAATATAATGTACAAAATATATAAAATTTAGCATTAAAATTGTCGCACATATATTTAAAAATTTATTGGACTAAAGTATTTTTCAAAAATTCTAAGAATGTAAGGTTAATGTAAGATTTTACACGGAACTAGTTTCCATTGTCCACGCGTAAGACCACGTCATAAAGATAGGCGTGGGGGTATATAAAGCGGCCATTACACGCGCAGCGTAGGCATTGGCTTAGTCTTCTTTAAGATGTGAGGAGGGTATTTTGCTCGGTAGTTTCAAATCCTTTGTGTGCACTTTTGTGTGAATTTCTTCTGTTTTGTTCTACAACAAACACGAGCCGGATACAGGTTGGTGTACTTATTACTTATTCAATAATTAGGTGAAATAGTTGAGAAAGCTATAAGAAAACGTGAATATCGTGTCAGTCGATAATTCATGTTAACCCATTTCTCAAGAAAAATATCATCTATACTGTGTTAACGTCGAAAACGACGAGGACATTTGTATTTCTACAAATTAAGAAAACTACGAAGTCGTCATCATGGTGAGCACACAGAAGAGACTTCCAAAAACTGGCCCCAACAAGCCAAGTGAAACTGAACGATTAGTAACTTGGATTAGCAGAGTTCGCAACAAAAAATTAAAATGTCGCCGAAATCGCAAACGCGATTTACGGATTGAAGCAGTACTGACGTGCGCTCTTTCCAAAGCTGAAAATGATTTACGCATCCAGCAATTATCAACAGCTTCAAAATGGCAGCGACTTAAAAGACAATGCTTGAAGAAGGGAAATTATTCAAATTATGAACTCTACAATGGTGAAGACACAGAAAATCGGAGATTGTCTCAACAGAATCCCTGGAAAAAGCCATTATGTCCTGAATTGAGCAGTTTAGACGATTTCATGTCTAAGTTGGCAGAAATAAAAGTACCGTTACAACGCTGAAGTAGTGGGAAAAATGCAAGCGATCAGGTTTGGAAGACCTAGAAGCTGACTGTGACTACTTTGACAAGAGGATTTCTGCGTAGAGATTTCAACAACTATATGGAATCTCGAGCGATTATGGAGCACTGTGTATTACGTCGGTGCTGCAGGAATAGAAATCGCATTACTATCCTGATGTATATCTGGATATTTTTTACTTGCAGTCTCACCGTTTGAGATGGCATTGGGACAGGCGGAGGGAGTTGGTGTTCGCAACGATGCTGAAGCGTACCGCACGATCGAGGACCCCATGTTCTCTAGTCTCTACGCCTTTCATTGGTTTGGTTTGTAAACTGTATCGGGACCAATGCATTCCCCTTTACAATTTTTTGTAGTATACGTAATAATGAGCGTTCGAAATATGTCCGAAGAGTGTTTGATCCGATATTTTTTATTTTCAGAAATATGGCAATTTACATAAAACATTGTGTACTTTGTATGTCTTATAATTTAAAGAAAATTTGTATAGTACATTTTAATTTGTAGATTTAGTAGTACCGTTTCAAATATTCGCTCCATTATTCTGAACGTCAAAATTTTGTATATTTGCTTAATGTTAATTAACAGTTTTGTAGACTTTAAGAAATAAAATGAAATTAATAAAATTTGGAAAATGTTTACAGTTTTTCTGCAATCTTCTAGTTCATATTAATGCCAAAAATCCTTTTTTGTCCAGCATACTACACAATAAAATTCTGTCGCAGGCAAGAGACCCGCACATGCGTCCAGGCTGTTGGCCGTCATCGGCGACATTATTTGGCCTGTCTGTGTATGAGATAAGGAGTGACAAGAGAGGATTGGTATGGGATAAACAAAGGGGAAAAGTCTTTGTTTTTAGAAAATCGTGCATGAAGTTTTCTGGCTGACGAATGGGTTACACCATGATCAAGTTGTACATAAACGTCTCATCACTCCGCGCTTCCGTATCTTGAACATGCAAGCATCAACTAATTCCAAAATCGTCTGACGCGCGATACTCATAGGCTTATTGTGACCAACTACAGCAAATTGTAGCAAATCATATTTGGTGAGCTCTAATCCCTTTTGTTCGTTATCTGTGCAAATGTGTTTTCTCAGGTCCGGAAAAGTTTTTTCAACATTTGTACCACCAAGTTGTATGTGAGTTACTTTGGCTTATCAATATGCCTTGTTCAAAGTTGAGCAAGCTGAATACTGTCACAGCTCTCTATCTTCCCATTTGAATTAAGATAATAAGAGCTTTTTGAGGTATGGAGTAAATTGAATGCATCTTTGTTGAGTCTAGATGATCCAGAATGGCGAACTACCGCAAGTAGCACAACTAATCGAAATAATAGACATGCGCATATATGAAATATGTTTAATATGGATAGGAAATTATTTTGAAATTTAACAATCATTGCAATAAATATGTCGGTTCGGAAGTCATATTACTAGATACTTATTTTCACAGATTACAATTCACTTATCCATTGATTGATGTTAGAACAAATGAAGAACTTTACATGTTATTAGATACAAATAAAATTTATTGTTCCTGACAAATGGTATGCAGAAGAGTAATGGAAATAAAAGACTGGTTCATATTACAGTTCAAGTGACTGATAGTAGGAAAGCAGTGATGAAAAATGAAGCAACGTATTATAAAATTGAATCCCTAAGTATAGCATGTAGATAATATTTTGAGTGTTGATGGAGGACAAAATTATGCACATTCCTTTTTTAATTCCAAGGAAATAGATCATCGATGCGTCAGTTGTCAAAACATGATGGAAATAGCTCATTGTTAATTGAACAAGTTTGATATAATTACACAAGCTAAAGATTTAACTTGAAATTTGTTTGAAGAAATTTATTTTTGCTTATACCTGATGTCAAGTGCAGTATTAAGTATCATGCTTCTATAACTATTGTTTTAAATATTTTTGTGTTGAAATATTGTCGTTTGGGTGTCTGTTTTGTACTGCAGGAGTACCCGAAATAATTATACTGGTCGTGTACAGCTATACAACTACAGGCAGTTGATTCTATTCCTGGAAAGCGTTGGATTCGTGTTTACATGGTACGTTGATTAGAATGATTTAGAGGTGGGTTACTGGGGGTGTGAGTAATTATGTTTCAGCCAGGCTTGGATAGAGAACGCGTTTAGTCAACGTTTAAAGGTCCGCTTAAAATACACATGCTCTGGTAGTTTCTAATTGGATCGTTATAGATGTTGTATACTTTCTGCTAAATCCGTTTTTGGGAGACATTAAGATGAAAAAGGTCGTATTTTTAAAGAGAGGGAGAGAGGTAGTATGCTTTGGATAAAGGTAACAATTTTATATGAAGGATGATTATTGTAAACATTGAATATAATTGGGGAAAATTGAGAAACTGGTGCAACTTGTTGTATTATGAGCTACAGGCCTGGTGCTGTGTCTATCCCTTTAATACAATAGATGAGACATTTGTATGGCACTTTTGATAATGGAAAACGTGTTCGTGCTGTATGTTTTGCATTCGATAACAGGAAATGGTTCCGCAATTTCAGTAATTTAAAGTACTTGCGGTATAATGATAAGCATAATACAATATAAATTTGCATTTCATCTGGCTACTGAAGGAAATACTTGTTTGACAATGGAACAGATCATTGCTAAGAAAGGAAGAAACGAGCAGTTAACACGATAGTTGTAACAAATTTTTGTTCCATCAGTTTTGCGGCAGGTAAAAATCAAAATATAATCATTGAAGTCAAATGTTTTTCAGATTCAAAGTTATAAATTTAATATAATTGTTTTACGGATTCATTACGCACATAAAGTTCGCATGCAATCTATTGATCCAAAAATATTCCAAATATATAGAATGATAGTAATAAATATAAGTACAATATATATTTTATTATAAAGTAAGGGTATTCAGATTGAAGGACAAATTACACGTGAATGTGAAAAAAATGATCAGTAAGTGTTTTTTGAATTGTGGAAATTATAAATATATTACAGAAAGTAATATTAAATGATCCAGAAAAGCATTTTCCAAATGGAAGGATAAAATGAATTACTATTTTACCTTGATTAACAACGTTTTTTCATGGATAAATAAATGAGAAAATAATTCAGTATGTATTATTTTCAATTGAACGTTCAACAAATCTGTATATTGTGAAAATTATGTATGACAATTAGACTATTTAGAACTGTTATATTTCAAAGTAATCTCAGTGCCAGTGAAATTGATTTATTGAAACTATATATGAATGTGAGTCTTTATATTCTGCTTCATTTTTTTTTTAAACATACTAAAGCATACTAAATCTTATAAAAAGAATTTGATTACAAGTTCATTTATATGAACATTGAAACATGAAGTAAAACAACTATGGTATCTTGTAATCTTCACTATTTCGTCTAATTTGATGTCTTGGTTGTATGCAATTTCATGCACCATTGAATAAACAGCTTTCTGTATTTTCTAATGAAGAAGAATAAAATTATTTTAATATGAATGAAGAAATGACTTCGAAACAGATTTGAAATTAATAACTTAATTACAATCATCTATGCATTACAACAGTTGAAGATTTTGGATATGAAGATATACAACAGATGTAAAGTAAGAATCGTTTAACAATATATTTCTCCAATTAGGAAGAAATTGAATCAGTAATTCATTTTTTAATTTCAGATTTATATAATATGCTTCAGATATACATTTTTGGAATATACTTACTATATACTTATTAGTAAAATGTAAATATTTTTGTAGAAAAGAGTATAAAATTCGACATGATTTCTTTCATGGCAAACAGAAAATTGTAACATTTATTGCCAAAATTTTACAAAAGTTGCATTTTTTTAAAGCGAAATATCACTCATAAATAGCAAGATCAATTTGGCATATGGAAAAGGATCGGTATTAGAATGCAACTTTTAAAGATTATCTATTACTTGGACAGTATAAGAGATAACTATATATAGACTAGAGGAACATCACAGAAGAGAAGGAAATATTTAATATCGTGTTCATTCAAGGATCAAATGTCAATGATTGTAACAAATAATTGGGACGATTTAATTGGGATAACAACTTAATGTCCGGAAAATGTGGGAACATTGTGATGAATCATAATGTATATTCATGAAATTTCAAAACAGTTATCTTGATTTTGTAAGATTTGAAAAAGACCAGCTATTAATCTGAAATTTAAAGAAAACCAACAACGCAGTACTAATCTAAAAAAGCTACCAACGTGAGATTTCATGCTATTCAGAAGAGGCTACCAATGCAGGATTTCATATTACCCAGAGGAGGCTACCAACGTGGGACTTCGTGCTATCCAGAGGAGGCTACCAATGTGGGACTTCGTGCTATCCAGAGGAGGCTACCAATGTGGGACTTCGTGCTATCCAGAGGAGGCTACCAATGTGGGACTTCGTGCTATCCAGAGGAGGCTACCAATGTGGGACTTCGTGCTATCCAGAGGAGGCTACCAATGTGGGACTTCGTGCTATCCAGAGGAGGCTACCAACGTGGGACTTCGTGCTATCCAGAGGAGGCTACCAATGTGGAACTTCGTGTTATCCAGAGGAGGCTACCAACGTGGAACTTCGTGCTATTCAGAGGAGGCTACCAACGTGGGACTTCGTGCTATCCAGAGGAGGCTACCAACGTGGGACTTCGTGCGATCCAGAAGAGGGTGCCAGCGTAGGACTTTGTAGGATTATTATCCAGAGGAGGCTACCAATGTGGGACTTCGTGCTATCCAGAGGAGGCTACCAATGTGGGACTTCGTGCTATCCAGAGGAGGCTACCAATGTGGGACTTCGTGCTATCCAGAGGAGGCTACCAATGTGGGACTTCGTGCTATCCAGAGGAGGCTACCAACGTGGGACTTCGTGCGATCCAGAAGAGGGTGCCAGCGTAGGACTTTGTAGGATTATCAGGAGACTACCGACGCGGGACTTTGTGGGACCACCAGGAGACTACCGACGCGGAATTTCGTGGGGTTCAAAGGAGGTTACAAATGTAGGATTTTGTGAAGATGCATTGGCGCCAGGCACATAAATATACTTTATGCGACTCACGGACATTTAATTCAGCACAATATGCGTACATATAAACAAAATAACAAACCAACAGTATCATGTCACTATAAAGGGTACCGATACCTTTTTTTTACAATTTAGCAAAGCAAACAAATGAGGATGGTCCCCATATAAACCATCGTTACTGCTGACTACGATAACAATCAGTAAGAAGGTCATAGAAAATCATACATATTAAATATTAAGAAGTGTAAGATTTATTCTGTATGAAAACAGAAGCTGTGTGATTACATAATAATAACGTTACTAATAAAGAAAGTAAAGTATTGAAGTACTAATTTTATAACTCTAATAGTTTAAAAATGCTCATAGATTGTACATGTCTAATAAATTGCCATGTTTTAAAAATATTTCAAACTTGACTTTGATCATAAAATTTAAGAATTGTTAGTAGTATTACTAGTTATTAGTAATTAGTATTATTAGTTAGTAGTAAAATAATTTGATAAATGTAAGATGTATTATGTGTATTAATAATAATTAAATAATACTAATAAAGCTGTTGATTATTAAGCCAAAATTGTATTTTAATTTTGTATAATTTATACATTAAGCAGAAATAAAAATATTAAAATGAATTGACTGTTTATTAACATTTATTATACCAATAAAATCCAACAAAAATTAAAGTTTCAATCTTTTTATATCCTCGGGACGAAAATCTATCCTCATAGAAGCAATACGTCGAACTTCAGCAGGTGTTAATCTCCATGCTATTGCATCTGCACCACAATAATCTGCTAATTCTTCTACTTTTTCAACACTTAATATGGTAGCTATTTGCGTTAATCGTGCAAATTTATCACGTACGGACCATGAGGTAACGGCGGCTAAGTAACTTGCTAATGATCTTACTTCTTTATCAAGTATAAGACCTCCCGCCTAAAAAATTATTGATTATTGGAAAATAAATATTAAGATTAAAATAAAATCATAAAATATACATACTCTATTGAAAGTAGACTTTAATACAACTTTTTCTAAACGAGCTGTTACTTCAGCAGTAAGAAGACCAATTAAAGCATCATAATTAGATGTTGTTAAACTTCCCTTAAAACTTTGAAGTAAACCTTCTAAATTCATAATTAAAGTTTGTACGAAAGGTTCTTCTGTTTCATATCTTAATAAGTCATCCTATGGATATTAACGAATCGTTACGAGTTTTTTATGTAACTCATTTTAATCATTTCTTATGATTATATACTTTGTTTACCTCGTTTATATGATGATCCACTGATAAGAATGCATCGACCCAAGGTGTGACTCTCGGTTTGACAGCGCTTACTCGTAACTGTTCTAGACCATAATCATTAACCGCTCGTAAAATCGACATAACACCTTTTAAACCGGATAAACAACTGTCGATTTTACCTCTTTCTTTACTTTGCATATTGGGAAACGTCGCATCTATTTCTGTACTAAGACTTTTACATAGCGTTTCGACATATTCGATACTTACGTCGGTGTTATTTAGATAGGTCTATGAATGAAATACATAAAACAAATTAACATATAAAATATGCAAGAATTGTAAATTTTGTACTTAATACTACCAAAAACATTAGACGGGCGAGCTCCGTATCTGAAGTTTGTAGACGACCATGTTGTATACTTGTTTGAAGGGCACTGTAAGCTTGTGCCAGATCCAAGTATCCTGCTGGATAACCTTGTCGCAATCGATTTCGTAATCTGTTTGCAAATTCTCCTTCTAATATTCCACAAGCCATATTAACTACAGCACAAACACCGTCTATACTCCAACTTGACATAGAACGCCTACACACGAAAATTTTGTATTTTATTTGTACTTGAATTAAACATAAATTATAAAATTTTGTCAATACCTAATACATTTCTGTACTATAAAAAAAACATCATCAACCATACTAGATGTTTGTTGATCTTGATCTAGGGTATCCATTCCTAGTGCTTTATTTACACTTTCTTCGAGGAAATATCTTTCTAAAGCAAGATAAGCACCTAAAAGTTCTTGCATACCATGTGCTAAATCAGAATTGTTGATAATATTTTCGAATTCATTTATTAGATCTTTGTATTGTGCATCATTTGTTACACTAATTTCTACATCATTCTAGAATAAAAATGTTATAATTTTATAGAACTTTGAAGTATTTAAAAATATTCACGTATGTAAGAGTATTTAAAACACATTTAACTTACTTTAACCCTCCTTTTTAAGAACCTTATGTATAATTCTGCACGTGAATGCATTATAGTAATTTCTCCCAATAACAAGTCAAATTCTTTGGGATCTGCTTTTTCAGAACTTGGTTTACGAACATGATCATTTACAATTTGTACTTTCTTAGATATAGATCGGTGTTTCATAAATTCTGCAATAATCTTTTTAACTTGTCTATTAAAAACATAAATTTTATATTTTTGAAAGTACATACAATTTCCCCATATATGCTATAAATATAAATACATGTAATATACCTGTCACATTCCTTTTGCAAAATAGAAATTGTCGTTAATAATCTTCCAGGACCATAATATGTTTCGATTATTGGTTGGTGTATCTCTACAATACGAGCAATTCCTTCAAATAGTAATGTCATAGTGTCAGAAAAAATAACTGACGCCCTTTTATCATTACTTTTTATTTCCAGAGCTGCTTTTAAATTTTTTTGAGCTGTTTCCTGCAACTGATGTTAGAACTATACAGTTATATAAACTTTATAGCATTTAAAAAATCATATAATTTATTACCTTTGTACATAAATAACTACAAAACTTTTTAAGGCCCTCTGTATGCATCTCTAATAAAGGAAATATTTTGAAAAATCTTTCAACAGATGCAAGATCTTCTGATTTTACTGCTTCATCAAATTTATGTGTAACCACAGTTCTGAGTTGTAATGCAGCTTGTTGTAATGTAATTAGAGAACAACTGACACTAGTGTGATCCATCAAAATGTCTTCAGCTGTTCTTTCTAATAATTGTTGATCCATTGATAAATAACGATAAACATGTGCTGCACCTTGTTCATAATCTTCATTACACAATGCCATAGCTACTCCTTCACTACATAGTTGTAAATCAAGAATATCATTAACACGTCTTTGACATTCGTATACTCTGCTCTATAATGTAACAATAAGTAATTAAACTTGATGCTTTATATGATAAACAACTTAATAATGAAATTATTATCAGTAATGTAGTCAATATTGCAGCTCAACTTACTCTTGCTAAATCCAATTGTCTTACTTTGGCACTTACATTTTCTGCTAATTCATTAGTACGTCTAATCATATTACAGAACTTTTCTCCTTCTGTCCGTATTATAACAATATTAGGTAATACCTTACTTATACTTTGGAGTTTTGCTTCTACATGACATTGTTTTGAAAGTATATTTTCTAAACTTTTTTCTATCTTAACCTGTAATTAAATACACCTGATTTTTAAAAATCCAAATGAAAGAATCAAATTTGGAAAGAAGATATGATGAAACCTCATCTTCTGATAATTTATTAAGTATATGTGTCAAATTGTCTTGATTTGGAGATAAATCCATGATACACATTATACTAGTGCAGAATACGAAATTTACATTACACCTAGAATAGTTTAAAATTCAACAATTTTATTAAGCCGCGAAATTCATCATACTAGATAATAATATAAGGGAAAGACGATTTAACCATATATATATATATATATGTGTGGCTAGAAATTTATAATCTATCGTATTTAAAAAACATTTTATGACATATATGATGAATAATTGCAAAATTCAATAATGGCGGAATCTTTAAATTTACATTATTTTGTAATTGGACAATTTTTATGATTATATTAACGAATAAACGTTGCATATTTTTAAGGTATATATTTTAAGATAGGTATATATTTTATTGTTTTCAATGATACATATAATAAATATGAAAAACTAATAGTAACAGTATTTAAATTTTGGTTAAGCTAGAAAATTGCATCTTTATAATCGAAACATCCTAAAAGAATTTTGCTAGATATTGATTAATTTTGAATATTTTTATAATGAAATACAAAGTATACTCGAACGAATAAAAATCGAGATCAGTGGTATTCATGAATATCAGTATAAATGAAAATTCACCAATGACAACGCCTTTAAGGTGTTCCACACATGCATCGAATCGTCCCACGCATCGCGCGTGGTTTGTGAAGGAAGTTGAGTTCTTTCCGCGCATCTTACGCGTTTTCCTGAAGGAAAATGGCTACCAGCTGTCATTTAATCGAAAAGTGTAACTTCTAAAGTGAAAGAATTCTGTGAAGAATCGTTTAACGTGCATAAGATCGTCTGGCGCGATGCAATTACATAACGTTGAAATCATTTAGTTGAACGACGCCACTTTTCATCTACATGCGGAACCCGTGAAACCTCCTACAGTGCCATGAAATTTTATTCCACTTTACTGTTTACAGTTTTTATTTTTTGCAAAACGTATCAGGACTAACAAGTCAACGCTACTTCCACGCTTTTTAAATAATTTCATCACTTCAGTAGTCATTTTAGGATCGTTACTGACAATTTAATCGTGCTACATATTAAAGACTACAAATTTTTGACCTGACTCATTATTTTTGGAGCTCGTTAATTGCAAATACGGTAAACCATTGTTTAAGACTATTAAATATGGAAATTACAATATGTAATGTAACTTATATTCTATGAATTTTATGCAGATACTAATTTTTGTGATTATACACTTTTGTTAAAGTTGTCAATGTTTTTTTTTAAATTTGGACAATACTGCTGTCTTATTTCAGAAAAGCAGCATGGGTTCGAGCCAACAGTTTTCTCTTAGGTGGAATAATTACTTAAAACATATTACTTGTGCTTTTGATACACTGAGAACAGAAGAAGATCTCGTTGATGTAACTTTAAGCTGCGAAGGAAAAAGAATAAGAGCACACAAAATGCTATTATCTGCATGTAGTACATATTTTAGAGATTTATTTAAGGTAGAGTGAAATTAAGAATTTAATAATTTATTACTGTTAACATATATTTTAAAAAGCAGATCAACTGCTTTTATCTGCATGTAGTACATATTTTAGAGATTTATTTAAGGTATAGTGAAATTAAGAATTTAATAATTTATTACTGTTAACATATATTTTATAAATGATTCTTATTCTATTTTAGGAAAATCCATGTCAGCATCCTGTTATAATATTTCGTAATGTAAAATTTGATGATTTGGCTGCATTGGTTGATTTTATGTATCAGGGTGAAGTAAATGTGGTTCAGGAACAATTAGCTAGTTTTTTAACAACTGCTGAACTGCTTGCTGTTCAGGGCCTTACCGATGGTACAGGAAAAGATAATGATAGTTTAGTAGAGGTATGTTTTTCAAAATTGTTAAGTATGATTAGATATTTTCTGCTTAAATTAAAATAATACATTTGTATCGCGTTAAACTGTGTTTCAGGATGACATAGAAATTCCTAATGAACCTGAAATTCAACTTCAAAATGCTTCTAGCAAAACATCAACAGACAAGAGAAATAAGTCACCTTCATCCCCAATGCCTTATCATGCTGTTGACTTACAACCTGATGCTCCACCGAGCAAAAGACGAAAATGTAGAGAAAATGCAAATACAAATGTGGATAAAACTATAAGTAATGCTTTATCTTCAAAAGATTCTGAAAATAAAACTTCCGAAAATCAATCAACGACTGGTTCGGATCCTGTTGAAATAATACCACTAATGCCAAATTTAAAGTTGGAAATGCCTGAATATTTAGTACAAGATGGAAGTAGCTGTAGTTACGAAGAACAAAGTTTGGGAGACAGTTCGCTAAATAAGATTGGTATAGAAGATACATCATCTAATACTCCTGATCATGATCAGAAACCTGATATCACTCAGACATTTTATTCGAGCAATCAGTCTACTTCAGATAGCTTGGATCTCAAACATCAAACAACTGATGTTGGTAAGATTTTTATTATTTTATTTTATCTTTAAAGCATAGAGGGATATGTTGCATAATCTCGTTTGTTAACTAGGGCACTTGCTTTCGAAACCTAGTACTTCTGGAGAAAGATTAACACAAGAAGCAGTGCAGGGTAAGTGTTTCCCTAATCAGTATTTACTTTATCTTACTATGACACACGATATAAGGTTGTGCCATATCTTTTAATTTTTTAAAATAAATGTTAACAATTACCAGAACTGTATTAAGAAGTTATTATCAATAAAATGTACATAACATAATAGAATCTGTAATTCCTAATACAATAATTTGAATCAAATACGATGATATTTGATATTTATATCGAAGATTTAATTAAGAGAAATGGCACTGCAAACTAACTTTAAGTTTTGTACCCATATATTGCTGATGCTAATGATCCCTAATTAATTTTAAAATGATATTTAATTATCGATAGATAGTGCATTTTATGTTTATAAACGTGAAAAAAACAATTTTCGTTTCACCGAACTATGGTTGTCCTACAATATATGTATCATTAGTATATTATAAAGAACTACTTGAATATGGGTACAAAATTGTTTTTATGCGTATTTTTACATATAACTTCTATTTATTTTAAATTATTCGGAATTTGATGATAAAATTATGCAGACTATATACATAGAAGAAAGGGGATTAATTTTATTATATACTTAATTTGAAAGAAAGTTGCGTGAACTTCTTATGACGTAAAGTGTAAAAATTTAATAGAATGTAGATACAGTTTTCTATTATCGTTACACATAAAAAATTTGTTAACAAAACACTGATAAAGTTAAAGCCATTAATAGTGGTTGCAGCAAAGATTTGTTATCAATTCAAGATGAATAGGTTTCAGACAAAAAATTCCAGTTATTACTTATAGATTCGATTTTATGAAAAAAAAAAACAAGAAATTAAAAATTTTATGAAAAAGTTTACTCGCATTAAAAATATTATAATTTATCGAATATCAGATTTTTTAAATCTTACGTTTAAAATAGTTTTTACCTTTTTTTGTTTGTAAATTTATTATTTTAATAAAAACATCAGGATCGGGTTAACTAAAACGATCGTGTAGTAAAATATCGATGCAAATATCTTGGAATCATTAAAAAAAAAATGCATTTTCTATTGTGAAAAAATGTTACTTTATTTCCGTTAATCATTTAACTGTACTATAATATAAAATATGCATGGTTTTTGGATGTAAATGTATGGCATAGGCACTCGGGTGTAGGTTGAACTGTAGATATTAGTAAGCATTGCCAAGTGCTGTATGTGTGCCGACAATCATCAACATTCCCTTAATAACTCGTATAAAGCCACTACTGCGTTCCTTCCGAGCACTAACTGTAAGCATATTTCTGTGTATACACTAAAATATCTTTCAACGCTGGTATGAGGTAATTTCTTTGAATCCGCAGAACTGTACGCAGGACACGCACGCACGTGTGTGGTGCAAATACATACATATCTCACATGTTGATTTCACTTGCATGCAAAGTTAATCTTAAATTCATTAATTTCATCGTTGTCTCTATCGTTCATGTAGATATGACGAAAGTATGGATGAAAATTCAGAGAAAGAAAAAACAAAAGATTATTTATTACACGGTTCTGTGTATATTCCAATGCTATGAATTCGACGTATCGATTGAAATTCACATTTGTAAATGAAATACTCATTTCGTTTTCCTTTATCTATGATTTTCGTATGATTTGTGAAATTTAATTGTATTGCTATTTAAGATTAACTTGCAAGCTTGTATATTCATCCTTTTTTTTTTTTTTTTTTTTTTTTTCAACAAAA